TGGCCTGTGAGTATGTCTGTGAGGTATTTTCTTGATTGTTGATGGATGTGGGAGGGCCCAGCCCACTGTGAGTTGTGCCATCCTTGAGCAGATGGGCCTGGGCTGTATAACAAAAGAAGCTGAGCTGGGGGCTGCAGTGATGGCTCAGTGGTTAAGAGCACTGACTACTCTTGCAGAAGATCCGGGTTCGATTCCCAGCACCCACATGGCGGCTACGAATCGTCCTTAACTCCAGATCTAGGGGAATCCGAAGCCCTCTTCTGACCTCTGTGGCATGGCATGACACGGGTGCTCTCACATACATGCAGGCAATACACTCATACACATAAAATAAAAACAATAAATAAAATTTTAAAAAAGAGAAAAGAAAAATATCTGAGCAAGCCAGGGGGAGCAAGCCAGTACGCAGCGTTCCTCCGTGGTCTCTGCTTCAGTCCCTGCCTCCAGGTTTCTGCCTTCAGTTCCTACCTTGACTTCCCTCAATGATAGACTCTAAGCTCTAAGATGTAATAAACTCTTTCTTCCCCAAGTTGCTTTCAGCCAGAGTCTTATCACAGCAACAGAAAGCAAAGGAGAACACTATACATACAGTATCTGTCCTTTTCTATTAGCCTTACTTAAGATAATGTTTTAAGGGTTCACCCATGTTGGAGCATGTGCCACAGTTTCATCCTTTTCTGTTGATCATCTCTTCCTTGCCAGTGTATGGATGCACCACAGCTTTACTCATTCATGGACACTGGGGAGATGTCTCCTACCCTCCTCTTTTTAAAATATTTTAATATTTTATTTATTTTTTTAAAGGTGTGTGTCACCATGACCAGCTCTTTTTTTTTTTTTTTTTTTTTTTTTTGAGACAGTACCTCCAAGTGGCCGGGAACTCACTATGTAGACCAGACTGGTGTTGAACTCACAGAGATTTGCCTGCCTCTGCCTCCCAAGTGCTGGGATTAAAGGTGTGTGCCTTTTATTTATTTTATTTATTTTTCATTTTTATTTTGTGTGTGAATGTATTACCTGCATGCTTGTAAATGCATCAGTGTCATGCAATGCCCATGAGGCCAGAAGAGGGCGTTGTATCCCCTGGAAGTGGAGTTAGGGATGATTGTTAGCTGCCATGTGGATGCTGGAACTGAATCTGGGTCCTCTGTAAGAGAAGCTAGTACTTTTAACTGCTGAGCCATCTCTCCAGCCCTTGTTATTTTTATTTTATGTGTATGAGTGTATTGTCTGCATGTGTGTAAGTGCACCCGTGTCGTGCAGTGCCTGCAGAGTTCAGAAGAAGGCGTCAGATTCCCTGAACCTGGAATTATGGACTGTTGTTAGCATCCACATGTGTGCTGGGAACCAAACCTGGGTCCTGTGCAAGAACAGCCAGTGCTCTTAATCACTGAGCCATCTCTCTAGCTCCCTCCTACCTTCCTCTTGGTAGTGATCTTCTTCCACTTTACTTTTGTGTCACATTTTTTTCTCATTTACTCTCGTGTGCTGTATATGAAGTTTATTTCTCAATCTGGCTTATTTCATTTAACATAAAGATCCCCAATTCTAGATACTTCCTGCAAATGTCCTTTACAGCTGCATAAAATTCCATCGTGTATGGACCACCTTTTTCAATCCATCCATCAGTTGATGAACCTCCAGGCTGGTTCCATATATTGGTTATTGTAAACAGTGCAGTGATAGACGTGGATATACAATTATCTTTGTGGTGTGCTGCTTTGGAGTCCTTTGGGTACATACGCAGAAGTGGTAAATCTGGGTCATATGGTAGCTCTATTTTTAGAGTTTTGAGGACACTCATACTTTATTTCATGGTTGGTTGTATCTATTTACAGTCTCACCAGCTGTGTGTAAAGCTTAATCTTCCCTCACATCCTCACCAGCATTTGTTATTGTTCGTTTTCTTGATGATAGCTGTCACAACTGGGATGAGATGGACTCTCAAAGCAGTTTTAATGTGCATTTCCATGAGCACTAAGGATGTTGAACACTGTCAAATATTTATTGGCCATTTTTATTTTTTTACTTTTTTTCTTCTCTCAGTCACTTCCTTTGCTGAGCAGATGCTTTTTCGTCTTCATGTATTCTCCCTTGTCAGTTATTATTAGCATTATTTCCTTTGCTGTTGTTAGAGTCCTTTTCAACAAAATCATTGCCTGTATTATAAAGTGTTTGCATGTTTTCCTGTAACAGCTTCAGAGCCTTGGGTTGTAACATTAATGACTTTGATACATTTTGATTGATTTTTGCAAAGGCTGAGAGATGTAGAAATAGTTTCATTCTTTTACATATGACAATTCAGTTTTCACAGTATCATTTGTTGAAGACGGTGTGTTTTCCTGGTGTGTTTTTGACATATTTGTCAAAGATAAGGTGGTTGTACTTATATGGATTTATTTCTGGATCTCCTATTCTGTCTCTATAACGTGATTTGTGCCAGTACCATTCTGGTTTTGTTACTATGGCTCTGTCATATGAGATGACATATTGTGATACTTCCATCCAGGATTTCATTCTTTTAAGGATGAATAATAGATAATTATATGGACATACCATATTTTATTTATCTATTAATGTTCTGATAGAAATTTTGTTTTGCTTCTCCCTTTTGCATGTTGTGAGTAATGCAGCTATAAACAATAGTATGTAGGCATTTGTTAGTTGTGGCAGATGCTGCAATGAAGTGGTACTTGATTCAAGACAGACTAAACTTCCAGTATTGTTTTAACTAAGAATAAGCCTGATCTGTTCTCAGAACTGTTCCTTTAGGATTTCCCTTAAAAGTGTTCCTGCAAGAAAAATTGTTCTCTGTCTCTCTCCTCTCCTGTCCTCTCCTGTCCTCTCCTGTCCTCTCCTGTCCTGTCCTGTCCTGTCCTGTCCTGTCCTGTCCTGTCCTCTCCTCTCCTCTCCTCTCCTTCTGGAAGATAATAAAATTGTGCTTGAAATGCTGTGGAGCAGACCATCCAGACCATCCACTGAGGCATAGCAGAAATCGCTACTTAACCACTGAGTCTCCCCTCTTCTCTTCTCTCCCATCCTCTCTCTCTCTCTCTCCTCTCTCCTCTTTCTCTTTCTCTTTCTCTTTCTTTCTCTTTCTCTTTCTCTGAATTTAAACAATACATCCAGCATGATGCTGGAGGGGAATTTTGTCTTCTCATAGATGAATTTGCCTTTTCTGACCCCTACTGACTCACAGCAACATACAAAACCACAAACCGGTATTACCAACCTAATCCCACATGTTATTTGCAATGTAAACGCCATGGATAATTCATTGCTTCCAATATTGCTGCTTTCAATGCTGATACTTTCACAACACACACATACACACACACACACACACACACACACACACACTATTCTGGATCAGGGGCAAGGAAGGATCATGAGGGAGAAATAGAGAACACAGTTTAAGATGAAATCCGTGTGTTTAGTTTACCTTGTAAAAGTTGATTATAAGAGGAGCCCAAGGCCTAGTAAAGACTGTTTACAGTGTTTTCCTAAAGGCTACCTAGATATAAATTATCTGATTACATAGTAGGAAAGTAGATTGTATAGTATTAAATATTAAATGATTTCAAAATATATGATTAAGTTTGGTTACAAGGTTGGGTAAGACAGGAGGCATTCTCAGGGACATCATTTCTACAGTTACTCTCAGATTTCTATTCATTTGGGTATACGCTTAGAAGCAGAATTTTTGGATTGTATATTAATTCCATGTTTCACACTTTGAGAATGGGCTCTCTACATTAAATGCATTATTTAAAATTTTCCGTCATTAATGCACTGGACTTCTAATTTCTTCATATCTTCTCCAACACTGAGTACTTCTCATTTTTCTTTTGCTAAGAGCTATCTTAATGGATATGAACTGATATTTCAAAGCAGTTTTGGATCATTAGTGATGCTAAGCATTATTTTATATGCTTATTGATCATTTGCATATCTTGATTAGAGATACATTTATTCATGTCTTTGTTTTAAAAATCATGTTAACTATTTTTGGTTGTTGTTGAGTTGTAGATATTCTTTATAAAGTATGGCTTATTACATATAAGACTAGTAAATATTTTCTTGCATTTTTCTGAGTTCTCTTCACTTTGCTTAGACTATCCTTTGCAATTTTTAAAAGTTTATAGTAACCAATTTAGCCAATGTTTCTTTTGAGGCTTGTATTTTTAATATCACATCCAGGAAATCATCTCCAAATATCATGAAGATTTTTTCCAAAATCGTTTCTTCCGAGAATTAAAAAAATAGCTCTTGTGTTTAGATGTTTGATTAATTTTGAATTGATTCTTATATGTGGCATAGGATGACGGTCAAAATTCATTCATTGCTTCTGTGTCCGGTTTTGCCAGCACAGATATTGCTATTTTATTTTTGGTGACTGTGGTACCTGTGCCACTGCCTTTCAATGGGAGGAATAATTATGACAAATTCTTCTAGTGTTTGAGAAGAAACAGGAAAACTCATGAATGCCATGGACTTGATGTGAAAGAAAGCCATGTTTCCCAAAAGAATCTAGTTGTAGTCAAAGACCATACAATAGTAACCACATATAAAAAAAATATGTGTATGTCTGTTAACCACTTTCAGTTTGTAAGCTATTTCTATACATCAAAGAAAATGCCTGCTAAGTCCATCTCTGGGCATTTTTATCTGTGGTTCATTTGCTAGACTAACAGTAGTAGAAACCATGGATTGAACGTCTCAAGGATCAAGTGTAAGCTCTAGGATTCCCCAGTCCATGTGAATCTCAGCTCGTGTTCCGGCTCTACCACTCAGACCCCATCTTCTAAAGAAAAGTAATCCGAACCTACCTCACTTAAACATTTTCATCTTTTTGGCATCTTTCTCCAAGTGATTGGAGGTCATACAGTAGCTTCAAGCACCAAGATAGAATTTTCTTTTTAAGGTGTGACTTCCTTAAACTATAAAGTATGTATACATTTTTTAAACCATATGATTCTTGTCTTCCTTCCTACTTCTAGAGAGATGGGACCATGTCACCACTACCACAACTAGAAGGCCAGGTACAACTAGAGCACCAGCAAATCCTATGGGTAAGGCAACTGCTCTGGAGAATGGATTAAGGGAGAATTTCCCCATGAGCTGATGGTTTATTTTGTTTTGGTTCAGATGATTTTAACTTGGCTGATGCCTTGGATGATCAAAATGATCGAGATGATGGCCGCAGAAAACCAAATGCAGGAGGAGGTGGAGGTATGTCTTAGCTGGTTGTAATCATTTCCTGGTAGGATCTGTCTTACTAATTATAATAACATACAGAGCCATTCATAGTTTGGTATAACTGGTCCACTTCAAGCCACAGGAGAACTCTAAAACAGTGACACTCAAGCTTTTTAATCTTAGGATCCCCAAATTATTGAGGATCTTAAGAACTGTTGTTTATGTGAGCCATATGTATCAACATTTAGCATCTGTATACTTTACTTAAAACTAAAAAATCCCAAACATTATTAATCAATCTAAAATGATAGTAAAGCCACATATATTAACATAAATAGCATATTTTATGAGCAGTCACTATATGTGGCAAGATGAAAACAATTTAGTGAGAAGAGTTGCATTATTTTGCATTTTTATAAACTTCTATAATGTCTATCTTGGTGGGAGACACCTAGATGCTCTTTAACTTTTTTAAGTTTATTTTTATGTATATGAGTGTTACACTTGGATGTGTGTGCTCCTATATTGTGCAGTGCCTGTGGAGGTCAGAAGAGGGTGTTAGATCCCTTGGAACTGGAGTTGTGGATGGTTGTTAGTAGCCATGTGGGTGCTGGGATTCAAACCTGGGTCTTCTACAATAACAACTAGTGCTCTTAACTGTTGAGCCATCACTCCAGCCCAAGACTCTTGGGTTCACATACCTACTTGCTTGTTGATCTGCAATATGTTGTGCTTCAGGTTCTCAAATCCAGCCTCACAGAGATATACAGCTGGAAAAGAGAACATGTTAGTTATTCTTCTCATTGCTGTGATGAAACACATGACGTAAACAACTTAAATGAGAAAGGCTTTATTTGGGTTCACAGTTTCAGAGTGTTCAGTCCATGTTCCTTCGCCTCATATATTGGGGCTGAGCATGGTAGAGGTGGAAATATATGGTAGAAGACAACTGTTTACCTCGTGGCAGACAAGACACCCAGCAGAGTAGCTCACGTCGTGGGAGACGTGAAATGGAGCCCACTGTATGAGTTGCTTTTTGAGTTGCTGTGATCAAATATCTGACCAGAAGTAAATCAAAGGAGGAGGGATTCCTTTTGGCTTACAATTGAGCAAGGGATACAGTTCATCATGAGGGCAAGGCACGGCAGCTGGAGCGTGAAGCAGCTGGTCACATTGTATACACAGTCAGGAAGAGAGAGATAAGAAGTCATCAGTTGGGGTGGGAAGTCTGAAAGGCTCCCAGGGATGTACTTCCTCCAAAAAGGCTCCACCTCCTAAAGGTGCCAAAACCTTCCAAGATAGCACCAACAGCCACAGATCAAGTGTTCAAACACATGAGACTATAGGGACAATTTTTTTCTCATTGAAATGTCTGTTTACTTTTTCTAGGTTTCTCAGACAAGGATCTTGAAGATATAGTAGGAGGTGGGGGATACAGGCCTGATAAGAATAAAGGTAGGAGCAACTCTCACCCAACTGCACACCTAATTTTGATTAAAATGGTGACCATGTAGCCTTCAGGTGAACGATGCCATTCTTAGCCTCTGGGAAATGAGAGGTAGTACCTTCTGTTTGTAAGTTAGGTTTCCTTTGGAGCCATGTGAACTGTACCCCTTGGGGTGGGGACTCATTTGTAAGCCATTCCAGAGAAGTTGTCCATTTGCCTTGCTATCCCTTAGGCCAAGATGCCACTGAGCTAGTGTCTCCACTGTAGCAGAAGCCTGTTGGTGAGGCAGTGCCAAAGGGCAGTGTCCTGTGACAGGACACTCACGGAGGGGAGGTGGTGACAAACTTGCTCTATTCAGACAGCCAGTTTCCTGTGCAGTGGACGGGTTCAAGTATATCCTGAGAAATATTTTTAAGAAGCCCCTAGCAAGTCAGATCTTTTAAAAATGCCATTGATTTTTAAAATAATTTAGGATGTACAAGTAGTTGTAAAATACTGTAGGAGAGGTTCTTGTACTCTTAGAACCATAGTAGATTTTCTAAACTAGGATGCCAACATTTGTACAATACTGTGAAGTCATGTACTGACCTTATGGAGATTTTGTCAGATCTTGCATGCATGGGTGTGTGTGTGTCTGTGTGTCTGTGTGTGTCTGTGTGTGTCTGTGTCTGTGTCTGTGTCATGTGTACATTTCAGTAGCCACCATCACAACTGGGGAGGCAGTTTCACCAATTCCCAAGTCTCTCCTTCATGTTATCCCTGAGTAGTCATGTCCTTGCTAAAGCCACATGTTTTTAGTCCACCCCCCCGCCACCAACTTGCTAACAATATAAAAATTTCATCATAGTATACATCAGATCGGCCCCTAAGCATGGTTGGGATATGAGCTAGACGATGCGGCAAAGCAAGTTTGTGTTCCAACTGGTGGCTGTAACATGCCAGAGCTGTGACGTGGGGTTATAATCAGTTGCAATAAGATGTTAAAGTTGCAGTTTGAAACTCTTTGGTCATTCCTGTTGTGATGGGAAGTTGTAACAGGGTCTAAGGGCTTCAGGTTATCAATGTATCTGGATGTAACCCTGAAAGAGTTCCCATAGTCCTGGCTGCAGTAGTAGTGTCTGCTGTTTTCTTCCAAGCACCATGGGCCTTTCACATGAGAATAGCATTCTCTTCTGATTGATTAAAGTATACCTAGTCAGATGTGTCCCTCGAAACACCTATCCAGGTGGTGTCATCTCTAGGAAAAAGCCCTAAAAGCCTCTAAATGAAACTCATAGGTGTCAGCACAACATGGAGCATTTAAAGGGCAAACCCAGCAAATTAGCCAATTACTCCTGGATGAAAAATGGTATTTCCAGATGGGAAGATGAGGGCCATAGTTGCATATGTAAGTGCACACAGGAATGGAAATCTGAATGACATGCCAGGGGCTTTTCTTTATTAAAAGCACTTGTTTTAGCAAGGAAGAAATGTTAGGAAATTCTTTAATTAGGCTCACATTGGAACTTGTCTTGTAAAGAATAATCAACTGTTAGCTTCGGTTATACCTTGTGTCATCATAGGTGTCAGGAAAAGAAGATAAAAGGGTAGAAAGTAGAACACAGGAGGAGCACACAATTGGATGCTTAGACACCGCCCTTTACACCAAAACATGCTTATGCTATATGTGAAGGGGAAGGTATCACATTTACATGAAGTACAAACTTCAGCAAGAAAGAACCTGATTAATGTATTTCCCAGGCTTGAGTCTTAGGGACATAGATTCAGTTGTTCTCTTTAGAGTATATTTCTGAAGTAATGTATTATCTATTGTGTACTTTTTTCCTTAAGACAACATTTCTTTAAATAAATAAATTTTATTGTTTGAGAAAGTTAAGAGCACAAAGGAACGGTTTTTCAAATGTTCCCATAATTTACTGGTGAAACAGTCAGTGCTTTTGATCAAGTATAGGTCGTGCAGTTATCATATGATTCAGGAATCACAGAATTCACACTTGTTTGTCATTGTTGAGGGGGAGGCCTGTAACCCTCCACCCTCTACCTCTATTCCTTTCCTGCTCTTCCTGGACCCACATTGCCACTTGTTTTTGCCAACAGTTTCCTTCTTTCCCAAGAACTTTGGCTGAGAAACTTGAGACCTTTAGCTGTCACCGCCTCAAGGTCCGTCCACATGGCAGCATTTTGTTTTTCCGACTGAAGAATACTTCATTGTGTGGATAGGCTCATTTTGTTTACCCATTCTCTCCACTGTCTTTGAAAACAATATTTCCATCTTTACTGTATCTGTTATAACTTGAAGTATCTGAACCCTGTCAAGATTCCTTACTGTTCTAGACTCAATCCATGTTTAGTCCGAAACTCTAACCCCAATGGGATATATTTGGATGCTGGGCCCTTACAAGGTGGTCAGGGTTAGATAGATGCTCTTGGGATAGGACTATCCTGATGGCACTGGCAGCCTCATAGGAAGAAATTCCCGAGAGATTTCTTTGGACCTTTCCCACCAATCTTTATAGCATTTATAGCATGTGAGGAAATATACATAACATTTGGGGAAGAAATCCATGGAAGCTCTGGTGTTCTGCAATGTCAACAGGCTTCAGACACAATCCCAACAACAGGTTGTCGACTGTGGCATGTACATAGGGATTTCCTCTGAGGTACCCTTGATATAGAACACTGAGGGCTTTGCTGTCCCATATCGGATTGGGGCAGGGCACCCAGAATGTTATCTACAGAGTTTCTCTGCTGGGGAATGGGCACTATCTGGCTGCGGAGAGTTTCTGCAACGGTGAGGCATGGTTTCTCAGCTCTGTTTAATTTAGTAACTGTAACTCATGTGAAGCAAGTTCTTTTCCCTTTTTTGTTTATTACTTTTTTTTCTTGACAGGGTCTTGTTATGTAGCCCAGGCTAGCCTGGACCTTATGACCTTCCTGTCTTAGCCTCCCAGAGACTTGGTTTACTCGCAGGTATCATCACACACAGCTTTGCTTATTCACTTTCTTTTTGTACTTCTCTTGCACTTTTTTTATATAATAGAAGTACATTTTAAAAATATCCAAATGCCTGAGCTGTGTCTTGCCGGAAGCCTGGAACATTCACAAATGTCCTTAAACACTTCAATATCCCCCCAGCAGTTGTAGGCATAATCATCCTACTGTTCCACGATTCTCTGTGTCCTTGGTGACAGGATGCGTCATGCACTCACTGTGAGCCAGGGGTTGGGCTGCTGTCAAAGAAGGGCAAGTCCATGCCTTGTGTCCCTGTCTCTCCCGGTAAGTGGCTCTGTAGGACTCAAGGCTGACGTCTATGTGTGCATTGTTGTCTTTGTATTTGAGATGCTGTAAGTCTGGTACCTCTGTTGACAACATAGCTTATTCACAATGTCTTAATCCATTCTCTGTTGTTATAATAGAATGTCCAAGGTACAGTAATTAATAAAAGAGAGAAGTTTATTTACCTCACAGTCCTGGAAGCTAGAAGGCCAAGACTGGTCACTGCATCTGGTAAAGGCCTTGTGTTGCATACTAACATGGTGGAAAAACAGGAGGGCAAGTGGGCATGAGTCCATGAGACAAAACACGGCCAGACTCACTTTGTAACAAGCTGATCTTGTGGCAACTAACCCAGTCCCAAGACAAAGGCATTCATCTCCCAATACTGCCACAGTGGCAGTCAACTTTCATCACAAGTTTCCATGGGGACAAAATCTATTCAAATCATTGTATACAACTTCCAAACTGAGGTAATGCCTCTTATTCTACAGGGTCTATCCAAGTGATGGATGTTGCTATAGCTATGGGGTCCCTTTTGCTATGGGATCCACTATAGCAGTGCTCACTATCACTATGGTGGTAGACTGTAGCTAGGACAGTTGCTATAGTATAGCAGGGGTCCCTAGAGCTAGTCCATGTAGCTGTGTATAGGGAGAGCAAATTATACTATAATATATACCATACAAGGAAATTTCTGGAAAATGAAGACCCTGCTAGTGGCCTGTGAAATAGCCTAAAACTAAATGAAAATAATTATTTGTTTCACCATCTAGGAAGAATCATCAGTAATTCTTTGGATATTATTTCTTAGTATTTGTGTCTGTTTTTAAAAAATGAGATCATGCTATCCTTTGTTTTTGTTTGCTTTTGATACAAGCTCTTGCTTCGTATTCATTATGTAGCCCAGGCTGGCCTTGAACTTCATATTCTTGTAGAGCAGATTGGTTCTACCTGTGTTCAGAGAAAACAAGTGGAGCTCAGAAGCCAAAGACAGATAAAGACCATGGCTCTGGCCTGAATAACTTCCATGATAGGCTTGTGTGGCTCCTGTTGATTCAGATTCGTGCAACTGGATGGACAGAAGGACTGCAGTGTGTGTGTGTGTGTGTGTGTGTGTGTGTGTGTGTGCTCATGTTTTTGTGGGTGTGTGCATGTGTGTGGAGACCAGTTGTCAATGTTGGTTGTCTTCCTCAATCACTCTCCACCTTATTTTTTGAGACAGGGTTTCTCACTGAACCTGGAGTTCATTATTTGGCTAGGCTAGCTAGCCAACATGCTCCAGGGATCCCTCTGTCTCCATCGCTCTAGTGCTGGAATTATAGGCATGCTGCCTGCTCCAGCACTTACATGGGTGTTGGGATCCAAGCTCTGGTCCTCATGTTTTGCACGACAAACACTTTACCAACTGAGCTCTCCAGCCCTGTGACTGTCTTTTTATTTGCAAGTTGTTCTGTGGGTATACAGGGTTACCTTTCCATAGGATTACTGTCATGGGGGTGGGGGGAGAAAGCTTATTGTTTTGTCACTATATTGGGACATTTTTCCCTCCAATCACTGGTGGTCAGGAACTAGTGGAAGCCCTGAGCTTTAGAATCTTGTGGGAGTGTCTGTCTGGATGTCATAGGCTGGGTGTGGTCTCTTTGCATTTACTGTAACCTATTAGTTCCTAGTTCAACACTAAACTAGATTGTGATGTTCACATTGCTGGGTATCTTTGTAGTCAAGCATTATAAGGGAGAAAGACTTGGGGACTTTCAGCTATATTCTGCTTTGAGATGAAAGGAAGAAAAGGTTGAATTACTCAGAGTCCTGACTCCAGGAAGCTAGTGACTCCACACAGCCACACAGGATGCCTGTGTGAATGCTTACCTTTACCCTTGATGATGACACTTCACTGGACTCCAAGCATTCGGTGCTGAAATGTCAATCCACTGACTCCTGTCCTCCATCCTGCTCGGTTTCCTCTGATAGCAATGATGGTGTCAAGCATGCTGGTACTCAGCCTGGCATGGTGAAGCATGCCTGTAGTTCTGTTGCTCTAGGGTTGGAGGCACAAAGATCATGAGTTTCAGCTCAGCCTGAGCTACGTAGTGAGACCTGCCTCAAAACAAAAGCAAGCAAAACAAAAATGCTATCGTTCCTTTTAAAAATATATAAATAGGCAATCAGGGATGTTTATAAAATGTTTTTAAATGGAGGACTGAGCTCCATGAGGTAACATAACAAACTTCATTTTCTTTCCCAAGACTGTTCAAAAATAGACTGTTTTTAGAGTAGCTTTAGGCCCACACCTCCACATACTATATCTTCCTTCACTATAGTGTAACATTTTCACACCCAGGAACCTAGACTGTTTGACTGGTGAAGGGAATGCCAGTGCTTCTTGCTCCCAACACCCTAGGGGAGTCTCTCCTGAGAACCCCTAGATCCTGAGAACACCATCTTCTTTCATCAGTGAGCATTAGGCCCCAGGGAGAGAATACTGGGAAGGATGAGCTCAGAACTAAGAACATTCTGGAATAATACCTGTTACTTATCAGGGATTGGCTTTCTGGGGAAGTGCATGCGTGTATGTGCCTGTGTGTGTGTGTGTGTGTGTGTGTGTGTGTGTGTGTGTGTGTGTGTGTGTATGTTTAGCCCTATGCATTTTTATCACGTTGATTAGTGTGAGCATCACCACAATCAGATGAGTGGTCACAAAGATCTCCTTCCTACCATCCATTTATAAGCAATGTTAACTCTCTCCCCACATTTCTCCCCTCCTCTTCCACCATTAATCTGTTCTACATCCCTGTGATATTTCAGAACTTTTTGAATGTGAAAATATTGGACATGGGTATATATGTTTGCATTTGTTTGTGTTCCAAGAACAACTCCAACTATAGTTTGGCATAGTTGTGCAACAGACACTTGGTGGTATAATTTGCAGTGAGGTTTGAATGCCTTTTGCTTCTCTTCCATCTGCCTGCTAGCCTGAACTCACTCCTTTATAAGGTGGCGATGCTAAATGGAGCTGCCCCATTGGATAGTGAACTAAACTTAAAGCCAGAGCCTGAAGAGTACTGTGGGTAACAGGTGTTTAGTACATAAATACAGTCATTTCAATAGGATGTCCTCCTAGAGGACTGAGCCTGCTGGTCTTGGGGTCAAGGAAGACACTAAGTGCTTTTGTCCTTTCCCCAGGTGATGGCGGTTATGGCAGCAGTGATGACCCTGGATCTGGTGGGTATTTGTAGCCTAAGGTTTCTGTTGGAAACACAAGGAAAAATAACTCTGTCCCTTTCAGAGTTGGCCTTCCCTGCCCTTTCCCTGAATGTTTCTGTGTTGGCTCATGGTTTCAGAGGTTTTGGCACATTGTCACTTCACCCTGATGCCTTTGGGGCTGTGGGGAGGTGAACCATCAGGAAAGAAGCCCGTGGTGGAGAAGGCTGCTCACCTCTTTGAAGCCTGGAAATAAGAGAGTTGACTTTTGTAGCAAAGCCCCTCCTCTGAAATCCACTCTAGTATGGATATATCCATCATTGAGGGTGGAGCCTCATGATCCACTTACCTCTCAAATGTCCTGCCTCTCCCCCTGCTGCATTAGGATCCAGGCCTTTAATTCATGAACTTTTGAGGGATATTCCACATCTAAACTACCATTGCCAATAGGGTGAGTAGAAACTCTGGATTTGGGGCCATCTCTCCTCAGGTCTTCCCATTCTTCCTTGTCCAGGCATGTCGGCAGAAACTGGCACCATCGCCGGTGTGGCCAGTGCCCTGGCCATGGCTCTGATCGGCGCTGTATCCAGCTACATCTCCTACCAGCAGAAGAAGTTCTGCTTCAGTATTCAACGTAAGTGCATATCTGCACGTGGAAAGGGGCCCAGGCAGCTTCTCACCCCTTCCATGGTCTACCAAAGACTAGCAGACTCTCTAGCAGGCACAGTTTTGTACATCCTTAGGGATAAATTTAGGCCAAACTGAAGAGTATGCTGGTCTGGAAGAAGAAATGGGGCCACACTATGTGATCTTGACTATCCTTGTGTCTTCGTTACTAGATGTCAGACTTCTATAGGGAACAAACCTCAGTGAAAATTGTGTGTTTTCTTTTTATAGAAAGGGAAGAAACCTGAGAGGTCCCCATGGCCTCAGATCTCACCGAAGGGGGCTTTGAGCCTGCAGAGGCCCAGGGTTACCAGCTCCTTTTACTGCTGATCAGAATACCATGGCCTCCCAGGGTCTCTTAGACGTGGCAGTAAGCACCATCAGTCCCTATATGATTCTGGCAGTGCCCCTTTCTGATCTTGCCCTCCTGAGAGGTCACTGTCTGGGTACCCTCTGCTCTTCCCCAAGTCAGATCATTTAAAATGTATGGAATCGTGTGGTGTTTTAAGGAGTAAGAATGAAAGAGAAATTTTTCATCCCTGCCCTTTGCTTTCTATAACTTGAGAAGACAGATTGCTTTTGTTGTAGGCTATAGCCACGAGTGGGGAATCTGTGGCAAATCGAATAGTACAAAAGGCCTCCAGTCTTTGAAACCTATTGATGTCCCATGGCAGGGAGCCTGTTGGAATGCTGGTGAGGAGAAACAAAGGGACCACATTTGTTTGTTTGAATACCACAGCATCCATGTGACATTGTAAGTAGAGTGTCTAGTTCAAGGCCAGTGAATTTGAGTTCAAGTGATGGCCCCTGGCTTACCCATAATTTTTTTCTTTGATGTGCTGTGAAGCTTAAGGCCATCTCCTTCAGTCTCCCTATGCCCTTCTCTGGGCCTCTGCTCTTTACTACACATGGAGCTGAGCTTCCCAGGAAACTAACGTGGCTCTTAGGGTACTTTGAGTGTGGGTATTGCTTAAGTCCCTAAATATTTCACCATCTGACAATCATATTGCCGTTTCTTTTGCTCTTGTAGAACATAGTTCATCAGTGATGCCACAGACAGGTACACAGGCCTTACACAGCATGCTGCAGGGGGCACCATTCACACCTCAGTGCACAGCCTATACAGCTGCTCATAGTTTCTGCCCATTGACCCACCTGGTTCCACAAGCTTGGCTGTAGGGTGGTTAGGAACATGGACATATGGGGATGGAAGCTAGATTGTTCTAACCCCTACCTGCCCCCTTCCCCAACTATAAAGCAAAGGAAGTTTTTAAAAATATTTTATCACTTTTATTTTATGTGTATGAATGTATTACCTGCCCCCTTCCCCAACCATAAAGCAAAGGAAGTTTTAAAAAATATTTTATTACTTTTATTTTATGTGTATGAATGTATTGCTTGCATGGTGTAAGTGCACCCATGTCTTGCAATGCCCACAGAGGTCTGTCGGATCCCCTGGAACTGGAGTTAGGGATGGTTGTTAGCTGCCTTGTGGTTGCTGGGAATCAAACCCGGGTCCTCTGTGAGAGCAGCCAGTGCTCCTAACCACTGAGCCAGCTCTCTAGCCCTACAAAGGAACTTTCAATCTGGTGAAAAACACGGGAGTTCCATGTGTTGATGGCTTGGATGAGGCCAAGGATGATCCTGAATCTGGTAGGATATTTGCATGGAGACCTTTGGGCACACACCAGGGGCCTGAGTTATTTATGGTATGGGGAGGTGGCTCTGTGTCATCCTCCTGGATTGTTCCAGGAGCAAGTAAATGGAGCAGTGGCCAGGCTCAGTCTCCACCCTCAAGCTTGCTACTGCCTTTGAAGAAAGAGGGAGCATTAGGGAGTTTCTACCCCAGAGGTCTACAGCTATCTTCCCACCCTACCGCCCCCACCTCACACCCGCCCCCCAGGAGGTGGGTAGAAGTGATTTGGGGATTCCAGGTCAAAGACTCTTCCATGTGGTTCTTGTGTGTGGCAGTTCTTGGGGCTGAAATCTCTCAATATTCTTATCTCAGCCGCTTCAGAGGGAAGGGAACAAGGTTCTAGCTAAGGGTATTTTGAGAAAACACCTCAGCTTGTTAGTTAGAGAAGGCAAGATTTTGAATAGGCATCTCCTGCCTCAAGATGACCTTGGGAAGAGATAAGAGGCCCCACTTGAGCCACCAGACAAAGTAAAGAAATAACTAATGTCATGCAGCAAATAGCTGTTTATTACTTTCAAGATAGTCCTGTGTGTAGTGATGTTTTTAGCCAGTTGTGAGTTGGTCTCAGGAGTGGCCAGAGGTGTGGTTCTATCTGCACATCTGCTGGAAGTCTTATTTGGCCAGAAGCACCACATGAGGCCCATTTGTGCCTTCATTTCCCCACCATTTCCCCTGCTGTGTGGTTGGGCAAGCCAGTGTGGGCTTGGGCCTTAGCAACGAAGGGGTTATAAGCACTTCAGACCAAAAACCCTTTTCTTTCCCTGCCACAATGTGGAAGCCAGGAGAGTCACCAGTACGGTCTAGCATGGGAGTGCAGCAGCCCTCCGTCCTCAGCTGTCCAGTCTTCCTGTATCTTTCAGGACAAAGAGCCACTGTCCGCGTGACTGTAAACAACCAAAACATGGTCTCTGAATCGAGTATAATGGCACACACCTGTAATCACAGCACTAGTGAGGCTGAGACAGGAGGGTTGCTGTGATTTCGAGGCCAGCCTGGGATATATATAGTGAGTTCCAGGCAAGCCTGCCTTAAAAACCGTCAAGAAACTTCTTTTCCTGCTTTGGAGGCCTGAAGTCCAAGAGCAAGCTGTCTGCAGGGCATTACTCCCTGCAGGCTCTGGAGGAGTTGCCGTCCTGATTCTCATGGCTTCCAGGGGATCCCGGTGTTCCTTGACTTGTGGCCACAGCACTTCAATGGCTGCCTCCACCCTAAGTCCAGAATGACGTCACTTTAAGATTCTTAATTATGTCAGCAATGACTCTTCTCCAAGAAGAGGTCACATTTACAGGTTTAAGGGACAAGGACACAAAGCTGATAGGGAGACCTGGCACACGTTTATGGGGCAGAGGGGGGACAAGCCTCCTCCCGTCAGTCAATGGCAAGGTGGCACAGGAAGGGAGGGAGACTGGGAGAGCTTGGGTGTAGCCCTCAGCCAGCCCACCTGCGTTGTGGACGGTATAACAGTTAGGAGGGCTCAGAAGTTGGACAAGCAGGCTAGGCAGGCTGACTTGCTTACATAGCGGGTGGGCGGAGCTTGGACTTCCCATCTTTTCTCTCACAGCTGCCCTCTGTGTCTGGGAGTCCTAGTCTTCATGAGCCACACCACATATACCTCCGGGTAATTATTGCCCCTCCTTGGCTAGGCTTTTGTCGTGTCCTCCCCCCGCCCTTCCAACCTGGGACATACTTCACCCTCTTCCAGGGGGACCTGTTTACAATGACCTGAACTTCCCCAAGCTCCCTGTGGACTTCAGAGTCACAGCCCAGGCCAGAACTTGGCAAAGTCCTGGTCATTTGGTTTCCCCTTGACCCCCACAGTCATCTTCCCTTCCTAAGTGCTCTGCACTTCCCAGGGTGCGGCCTCCACTGTTTCCTCCCGGTTTAGGGCTGGAATGTCCCCTCCCAAGAAGGTAGATTTCTCTCTGGCTAGACTGCGCCTGCACCAGGAGTGCTTCTGTGTGCTGAGGCCCCCTGCTGGCCTCATTCAAGCCTGTGGGCTTGCAGTTTCCATACCTGTCTGGCTTTCAGAAAGTAAACTCGCACCCTCCGTACTGTAAATTCTGGAGCTTGGTACATGGATGTGTACCTTTTCTGGTCCAGGATCAGAAAGGTCCCAAGGATGTTTGTAGTGGTAAATAACCTTGGCAGAAGCAGGGGTGAGATTTCCAATCCCTCCTGTTCGCCAAGCTGCAGCCTAGAGCCTCCAGCATATGGAGATCAGGAAAGGCAGATTTGGAAGCCCCAGAGAGGTGGCAGGTGGCTGCTGCAGAGGACCTGCCCCCACCTCTGTGGCCTCCAACCTCTGTTGCTACCAAAGGGTTGCCCGCTTTGGGAACTCTCAGCTTCGCTGCCTGCCCTCAGTGCCAAGGGTCAGTGAGTCTCACATAAAACCCAAGAGGTTTGTTGCCCGGAGCTGAGTTCTTACTCCAGGGTTCTAAGCTTCGTGTCTTGCCTTCAGATGCAGCAGAAGGTCAAGGTAACAACGTGCTTTGACTTCATGTTCCTAGTGCTTTGCCCTTAGACACCTCATTACCCATCCCATCCCCTCTCCCAGGCGCTCTTGCTCTCTCCCTGCTCTCTGCCTCACCTCACCCTGGCACTCACCAACTTGGCTGCAACCACAACCATCTTTAGCTTTTCCTGATATGTGTGCCACATAATCCTATCCGCAGGCTCAAGATGGTTAGAGTCAGGGTTGTCTGTGGGGTCAGGAGGGGGTCACTCAGACACTCACTGGTGAACATCTCTGAGGAGCAACTAAAGGAAGAAGGCCATCTCCTGCTCAACAAGTGCAGGCTGGGCAGTGGTCTGGAGGCCCAGGCCACATCTCCCAACCCCCACCCACTAGGCACTGAGACCATCATTGCCTGGCTTTGCATGGTAGCCAGCCACCCCCGCCAAAGACTACTGCCTGCATTTTTTCATGGGTCCAGCAGCCATGAGGGCAGGTCAGAGCCTGCAGCCTGAGATGGCAGAATGACTTGTGTCCAGTCCATTTTCCCTGCAGGCCCTGGGTTATCCAGAGAGGATACGGACTCTTAGGGAGCTGATCTAAGTCCTTGAATGATGATGGCCTTTGGCTAAACGAAAAGGATGCTTTGTAGAGTCTCCACATTGCTCTTGGGACTAATATGGGGAGAGTCCAGATCACAAACTCGACCAGAGCAGCTGTTGTTGGGCCCTGGGCCTTCCAAGTTTCAGTGGAGACAACAATCATTCCTGTTGCCAGGAGAAGCTAGTTGACTTCCCTATGCAGGTGCTGCTGGGAAGTCTGTGTTTTGGCATCTCCAGAGTGAGCCCCATGCAGCTATCTGTCTCTCCTTGCCCTGCATCCATCAGCCACTCCCACAGCTCCCTTTCCACCTCCCTGGCCTCTGGAACCTGTGTGGTCCCATGGATGGTGCTGAGCCCTGCCATCCAGTACCCTCTGCTGGATGGAGCTGTTGTCTTGATATGGTGGCAGTGACCCTTTGGGGATGGAGTGTTCGACCTTTGATGCATGATGCTGTTTATAAAGAAGGTGATGAGAACTCCTGGCAGCATGGTCCTAGGTGGCCAGTCTTCTTCCAGAAGATGTGCTGGTGGCCCAGGGGCAAGAGTCTGAGCCTGCCAGGCTTTACTGTCACGGAGCACTCAATCATGAGGGCTCCTTTGGTTCCTTTGAGCATCACTCACTTTGCCCTTGCTCTTTGCAGAGGGTCTCAATGCAGAGTATGTGAAGGGGGAGAACCTGGAAGCTGTTGTGTGTGAAGAACCCCAAGGTGAGGACTTCTCAATCATGGTCCCTGCTGAAGGGTCTTCTGGTCATTGGCTCCATCACTGAATAGTCCTGGGTTAGGCAGGCCCAGAAGTCAACTGGCCTCCCGGCTTCTTGAGAATAAGGACACTGGGATGAGAGCCAGGGCATCTGGGTGTCACAGTGATGACTTCTGGGTATTGCTCCTGCTCATCGTCAGCTCTTGAATCACCAGAGTGTGAACCCAGGACACTTCTGTTCTTTGTCAGAAGAAGCACATGCATTGCATTGCATCTAAACCTATAGCCTGTTTTTCTGTTTTATTTGTTTTTGAGTTGGGGTCTCAGGTAGCCCTGGCTGGCCTCAAACTCACTATGTAGCTGGGGGTAGCCTTAAATTCCTGATCCTCCTGCCTCTACCTCCTGAGTGCTGGGATTACAGGCATGTGCCACCACAGCTGGCTCTAGAGCTAGTCTTTTGATTAGAAAATGGCCAAAGACAAGAGGGCATTTGGTTAAAGGGCTGACCTTCCCTGGGGAAGAAATTAAAGACCACATATGGTAAGGCTTCTACTTAGAGTGGTCAATTGAGATGAAGACATACCTGTGCCCCCAGAATGCTGACGGGGACACAAGGCTTCATGGGGCAGAAGGAAAGCCCACTCCCCATCAGCCGAGCCTGTGGTGGCAGAAGCCATCATGAGAAGAGACCAGGGCTACAAGACAGCAGCTAGTGGAAGGAGCCTGAGGGCTCAGGAAGAACTTGGCTCTCCCTACTCCACAATGGAGAGTGAGGGTCTCGGGCCACTCTTTACACCTACCTGGTAGTTCAGCGCCAAATGCACAGAAATAGCTCAGATCCAAATGAAGAATCACAGATTCAATTAAGCGTTCTCTGTCACAATTTTTAGCCAGCACTGTGTGAGTACCTGTGGACCGAGTACTCTGTTGAATGCTTTAGAGCCAATAAGCATACATTTTCCAGGTGAAAGAATGGAGGCAGAGCTCTTTTGTGCAGTCTGTTTGACTTTCTCCTTTGCTCCCCTTGGCCCACCCAGAACTTTGCATCTGGGGTCCATGGCAGTCCCTACTGGGGCAGGGAGCAGGCCTGGGATGTGCAGGGCTGCCTACACATCACACAGGACTAAATTTCTTTCCACACAGGGACTTGTTTGTATCTTTGCTCCTCTTGGGCAGGGCAGAGCAGAGGCAAACCCCTCCTAACAGTCATCCTGTTTCCCTAGTGAAATATTCAACACAAGAAATACAGTCTGCAGAGCCACCACCATTGGAGCCGCCCCGGATCTGAGGCTGTTCAGTAGCAGGTGCACATGAAAGGTGCCACCACTTGTGACCCAGCTCCTGACTTTGTCTGCCTACCCAGCTGCCTCCCATGCCACTGGCTTCTTATTGTTCTCAGTTCTCTGGACAAGCTTTGGGTGTTCGTGAGTGTGGTTTCTATGCCCTGTCCTTCAGGGTAGGGTGTCTGCCCTGCCATGAGTCCTTTGAAGAGACTTGGTGCTGAGACTTGGTGCTCAGACTTGAGACCCAGTTCCAGCAGATGACCAGCACCAGCATCTAAAGCTGCTGGGTCATAGAGACAGCCTGCTCTGTGATTAGTGTGCGAGCTAGGAGGGAAGCCAAGGTGAGAGTGGCATAGGATGCTGGGGACAGTGCTGAATGAGAGCACTCCCAAGGTCCTGTGAGCCCCCTTACCTACGTGCTGCAGGGGCTTATTGTGGTAGGGATCTACCACTATGTAACCCCTGACAGTGGCCTCTAAGGCTGTAGGAGCTTATTGTGGTAGGGATCTGCCAGTACATAACCCCTGACAGTGGCCTCTAAGACGTATAAGGAAGGGGCCCAGCTAGCACCTAGGAGCCCCTGCAGGGAGCAAATCACACAGCACCAAGCTGCAACACAGACACACAGGCACATGACATGGAACACCCAGGCAGGTTTTTCTTCTCCTCCTCCCCCTCCCCCTCCTCCTCCTCCTCCTTCTTCTCTTCCTTCTCTTCCTCCTCCCCCTCCTCTTCCTCTTCCTCCTCCTCTTCCTCCTCCTCCTCCTCCTCCTCCTCCTCCTCCTCCTCTTTTCAGTTTCAGGCTTTTCATTGCTGAGCTTCCAGAAAGTTTGCACGGGTGGAGGCTCTTCAGTTACTTAAGTGCAAACATGCATCTCACCACAGTCCCACCCTGAGTTTAGGAATCTGGAGAAGTCAGAAGCTGTGAATTGCAGGCCTGATTCCCATCAGATTCCCTGGTGGCCCAGGTGTGGGCTCAGGCTGGCCTGGTGACAGGTCTTGGGAGTTGTTTGTGCATTGGAAATGAATTTGTATTGCTCACCCCTACCTTGTACATGATCTTATTTGAGTAGCCTGAGCTACAGACCCTGAGAATGAACATCAAAACCAGAAGCATGCTTCTTGTTTGATTAGAAATGTATGTGGGAGGGAAGGGCTAGGGAGGGGAGGGATGGGAGCGGGAAGGGATACTGGCTTAACTCTGTGGACTGTCACTGCCCTTGTAGTTCTGAAGTTGTCATCTGTCTGCTCTGGTGAAGAGAGCCCTGACCATGTTAGCCATAATAAATACAGGAAACCAAGAACTGAGGTCTCACCTGGACCAGAGCTGCCTGCTGCCACCAGGGCTGGCTTCCTAGAATGCTCTTTGGCCCCAGTGAGCTCTGCTGTAAACCATGTAGTCAACCTGAGCTAGAGTCTCAACTCCTGTGAACTTCGATAGTTTGCCATGTCAAAAGAAAGCACTTCTGAAAGCAGAATATGGCACTGGGCATGTGAGATCTGATTTACATACAGCTTCTCTGGATGGCATAATGGCCTCATATATTCCACAGGCTGTGAATTGGCTCCATCACATCTGCTGAGCTGGGATGAGGGAAATCCTACCTTAAGAAACCACTGAAATCTTATGCTGTCTAATGCATGCCTTGAGTGTGTGTTCGTTGTTTAAAGACTATTCATGGTGGAGGGATGGTAATGGTGCCATGTCTCTAGGCAACCTGGACACCCATTGCCAGTGTGTGCCTGTGGGCCCTGAGGTGTCTTCAGCTTCCCGTTTGGTCCCAGACAGCGTCTGTGGATCTGAAAGGGAGCCTGGAGCACTGGGGAAACGGCACTGGAAGGAAGAAATGTGGCCTCAGGAAGCTCCACTCGTTCTGCAGGAAGTTAACTAGCGAAGGAAGTGTTGCCTACAAGATGTGTCCTGTTTCCAGGACCTCCTAGCCTGCTGCCCGGATTGCTGTCAATTTTGCCAAGATTGTGTCTCTGCGACAAGGACATCAAGGGATGATGGCGCTACCCCCTGGCCAGTGCGAAGATAGAGGTGGCTTAAGCGGGGATTTTAGTATCTGTGGCCTGTTGACATGTAGATAAGGTCATTTCTGGGGGGCTGTCCACTTCACCTCTATGGTGAGGCCTATCTGATGGCAAAGCCCTTGAAGCCCACAGCCATGATGTAAAATAAACGCTCTCGTGTGAAACTTTTATGAGTAGCACTGGCTCCAGTGACAAGAGCTCTACTCTGCTCTCCCTTAGCTACCTCGGTGCCTTCTGCATAAAGCCCTTCTGCATAAAACGCATCACTCAGCCCGCAGGCGCTAGCTCCGAGTGGCTGGACAGGCCTAGGCGGGCCATCGGCCTCCTGTTCACACAGTCTCATCCCAGGGGCCGGGCTCCTCCTTCCCGCTGGCGTTTAACACTTGTTGGGGCATTGTGGTCTGCGTAAGTTTTGGGGCTGTCCTTGTAACTCTGCCCCCTTGAAGGCTCCTGAGTTGGCCGGCTTGGGCCAGTCCCAGGTGATAGAGGGGAGAAAGGGAATGAAGTAGAAGAGTCAGTTGCCAAGATTGGAACTCTATCTTGGCAGGAAGAACTTCTAAAAAGCTCAGCATTCACTGGTGGCTTAGTGTAGGGGTGACCCTCTGGTGGGGGACAGGCCCACTGCCTCAGCCACTTGGGTTGTGGTTATTACTAGTTCTCTGGAGACTGCCAGAATCCCTGTACATCGTTTTACATGCTTGTGTCCAAGTGTGAATTGTAAATGGTCTAGTATTTGCATTAAAAATGGAACCTAACAGATTGCTGTGTTGAGATGGTGAAGGTGTTTCTGTAAACTGATGCTGTCTCCTCTGTGATTGAGATGCTACCCTCACTTCTCTTCCCTAGCCAAAGGTGGTTGCTGCCCTTTAGAGTTCTTGCCGTTATCCCCTTCTGCAAACAGCTGGATGTCAGGGCTTCTGCGGGTGGCCCTCATGGTACAGGACCTGCACCATGATGTGTCTGACACCCTGAGTGACGAAGAGGAGGCGAGAGCAGAGCCTACTTTCCCACACTACAATTGCCTCCTTTGGGAAGATGGGCATCGGCTACACCACCCTGGTAGCCCTAGAGCCCACTGCTGTATCCTCCTGAAAGTGAGCTGGTGAGTGTGGCTTCTTGTTCTGTACAGTTGAAATGGAGGCCCCACACCTGTCACTTGTATCCTTATTTGGGAACAAGTCCCAGCTGTTCTTGTCAGTTCACAGCCTGAGCTGGGAATTGAGACAACAGCTGGACTCGCCAGCATGAGCAAGCACGGTTTTCAGAGGCCAGTTCCCCCCGACCCCCCTTTGGCTAAACTAGTCTTCTCGTGAAAGAGCACCAAACCCTCAAACTCAAGGCCACCATGTGACCCTCCTTCACAGAAGTCCTCTGCAGCACCTGTCTTTCTGCAGCCTTCTACTGTGGTGGCACTGCTGGGGCTACCTGTCTGCAAGTTGGGCCAACCAGACACCCTCTATGCCTACTACTGGGTTCTTTTACTGACTCAACCATGATTCCCATCGAGAGGATGAGGGAAGCCAGGCCCTTAATTAAAGAAGGGTGACACACAGGGCTGGTGTAATTTTGCATAGGTTTTCCTTGGAAATGTGCACAGTTCTGTAGACCAGCCTGAACCTAGGAGAGCACTGCCTTGACTTGGTTGTATCTAGGCCTTTTCCTGTGTCTTCATCTCCTCAAAGTTATAGACGGGGCCTTTCAGATTGGACAACCAGAGCACCTACTTGTTCCAGCCTAAACACTCAAGACTCATGATAAAATACGTTTATGATTTAGTAAGTCAAATCCCATCGGGCACTTTACACATATTAACTGTGGCTGGCACAGTGACCATGCCACACAGGGCACTTTATTCTCACTTATTTCCTCATGGGGAAAACTACTGAGATGGTTAAACGAAGGAGACAAGAAGACCAGGGAGAAAACGTATTACCGTTTTAATTACAGATTGAAATACAGTGCATCAGATGAGGCAAATACAACATTGTACCAGTTATTTAAGAACCGGAACCATAAAGGTTTTACATTCTAGTACTTAAATAAAACAAACAAAAGGGAATTGCTTAGATAAGAAAACTATACTTCCAAGTTGTTTTAGAAATAGTTCTGTGCTAGAAACATATAAAGGGAAATATTTTTGTGCTTTAAAATCCAATGGGAATTTCTGGGGTGCTGCACACACAGACACGCCCCCTAGCTGAGGGAACATGTGGCCTAATCAGGAACCAGCTCCTTACTCCAGCAGCCATCTGCATCAGGCTAGCTGACCTCATCAAGAAGAAGCCCTCGTGACTTATCTGGTTCTGTCAAAAGCATCATCGAGTCCACACTACATTTCATGGTCCTAGTGTAGTTGGGGAATTAAATGGTGTTCTAGGGGAAAATTGGGAAATGTCCCTATTTTTAAAAAGTATATGAAGGAATAATATTGTGGATTGTTGTTTTCTTTTGGTATTGTTTTAGAGATAGGGTTCCAGTATGTAACCAAAGTTGGTCTTCAGCTCAAAGTAGTCCTCCTGTCTCAGACTTAAGTTCACAACCATGCATGGCAGTTTATCCATTCGTAAAGAGAGATTTGGGTATATTAGGAACATAAAAGCTAGTATCAATTAAACTATGATTTTTAAAACACATCCTCCAGATGATAAAAATGGAGAGTTGATCTTAACTTATCAAACTTCCTTAAATAAGCGTCTGTAATACCTTATGGTCAGGTAATTTTCTGTAAGAATCAGAAAGTTCCAAGTTGAAAAATCATCTATTTTCTATGTGTAGAAAACACTTTAAGAATATATTTTTAAAACTGAGGTCAACATGTAGAACTGTGCATGGAATGCAGTGATTTGACACTGACCAAGGATACATCTGCACTGGGGCTGACCCTGTGAGTCTGGACACATTTCGAGTCTAAAGGCAAGCTTGCTTCTTGCCTCAGGTAGGAGCCGGGTGATGTGCAGAAATGGGCATGGGGAGGGGTGCTGGCACTTTGCACAGAGGAGTTGACTGGAAATTCATTCCTGCAAGGACTGGTGGAGTCGTAGAGCTCAAAGTTGTTAAGGTGCAAAAATACAGAGAGCGGCCTGGGCGTCAAGGCTGGCTGAGAAAGGAAAAGCAAGGGAAGTGCGTGCTATGGTTTCCAAACTGAAGCGACAGCACATTGGTTGCTTTAAAGTATGGATAGGCAGCCATGTGAATAAACTGAAGAAAAGATTTTGGTACAGGAGAACATTCTGTCCAGGCACCCAGTAAGTAAAAGCAGACTTGTTCTGACACAACGTCTGGCATCTGTAAGCAGGCGGTAGGATGCAATGGCAGATGGCTGAGCACAATTCACAGGCCTTGCTCCTTCCTGGAGCTGTTACAGAGGGAGGCCAGCACCTGTGCAGAGCTGCCTGGGTCCCCAGTTTCCCTGCAGCAAGGGTAGAGGACCGAGTATGTGTTGTGCTACATCCTGAAGGAACCCGCTGCTACCGCTACCAGTGGACTGTGCAGCCTCAAAGGGCAAGTATCAGACATAGAGGACTGAGATGACATGTCCAAAATCTTATTTCAAATGTACCACACAAAAGTTACCATGACTTTTCTTGGGAAAATTTTCTCACAGTACAGTTCAGCAGATACCTCCTGAGGTGGCTACTCTAAACAATAAAAAAGGACATAGGAAAATAAAGGCATGTTTCTTTTTTAAAAAATACCTTGTATGTACACAGCAGTAATTGGTCCAGGAGGACCCCTTGCATGAAGACAGCTGGAGAACAGGTGGCAATGGCCTGTTCGCCACTTGAACATTTCCTTGAAGAACAGTTTTGAAATTGTGCCAAAGGGCTGAGAAACCAGGTGCCCGGCGTGTGGTCTGTAAGTGAATCGCTTGTGAATGGGTTGTTTCTAGTGAAGAAACGATTTAGAAAGAAATGGTGTGAGATTTTTGACCTGAACTACTGCATTGGGTTCACTTTAGTTTCTCCCAAGCTACCTGGACAGGAGGAAGATGGATCACAGTGGGTGTGACAGGTGGCTCCCCTGTGAGTCTGCCCTCAGGAGGGTCACGGGCTGGTCACACACACACACACACACACACACACACACACACACACACACACACACACACACAGCGAGCGTTGAGACAGGGATATCTGACACATACACACACACACGACACCTGCGCACTACTCTAAGCTAATCGCTTGTGAATGGGTTGTTTCTAGTGAAGAAACGATTTAGAAAGAAATGGTGTGAGATTTTTGACCTGAACTACTGCATTGGGTTCACTTTAGTTTCTCCCAAGCTACCTGGACAGGAGGAAGATGGATCACAGTGGGTGTGACAGGTGGCTCCCCTGTGAGTCTGCCCTCAGGAGGGTCACGGGCTGGTCACACACACACACACACACACACACACACACACACACACAAAGAGCACTTGCTGACAGTGGTAACTGTCACCTAGCCACACAAACGGTCCCTGGGCCTAATCCTAAGAGATAAGATGACAAGCTACAGCCATACAGCAATGGCTGGGTCCCTGAACTGCTGGGAGACAGTGGAGCAGCAGCATGGCCCAAGACACTGGCCTTGCCCATCAGACTGAGGTGTGCACAGGAGTGGCCAAGTGGGTAGGTGATGAGCCCCTCTCAGAAGATGATGAGATGGCCCGTGTGGCCACCTCCCGCTGCAGATCCTCCACCCGCTTCTGTAGCTCAGCCCTGACAGCTAGCAGCTCCTTGAGATTCTGGTGAATTGGCATCTAGCAGTGGAGAGAGAAAAGGCTGTCAGCACACTACTGTTGGAGCACTGTTCATTGTTAATACAACATTTCAACATCTAGGTTCTTAGCTTCGGAATCCTTTCAGTATCCAATGCCTATGCACCAGAGGCTCCTGAACTGTTGGCTAACCTCACCAAGTGTATACTGATCCTGCCTCCACAAGCCAGGAGCTTTAGCGGGTATCCAGCTGTCTTGCAGCTCTTGGGGACAAGCTAGGCATGAAAAGGCACTGGAGCACATAGGCCATCCTTGCCCTCCACTCTATACCCAGCTCTCAGAGAAAACACACAGGCCCAGGTATAATCACAAGTCAACCAAGGCTTTCAAGTGCAGACTCAGAGCCAAGCAGCTTTTAGACGAGTCAGAAATGCAATTAGCTGCTTCCTGGCTGCAAACTAAGCAGTGTTCGCACACAGACCCCAGATCCATTTTCATTAATAGCTCCACTCACCGAAAACACTTCTGTTAAGTCAGCACTAGTACAGCTCTGACCTCTTGTGTTTTCATCAACCGGAGCAGGAGCTGGCAGAACCCCTGGACAGGTGGTGCTGGGGGGTAGCTGCCCCAAGACCAGTTCTCCGCATCCCACTTAGCACTTCTGCACTGCTTCACCCACCAATGGGGGACACAACAAAGAGATGAGAGGATCCCACTATTTTATGTTCCTAATACCTAGCTCTCTAAGCTAACAAGATGTCCTCAGCATCTACTAAAAGCCTAGAGATCTAAGACCCAGCTTTTCCTTTATGGATTTCTCAGGCTGGGGGCAAGGTTGAGGGGTTGAAGAAGGCATGAGGTGGGGTCTAGGGAGCCTCACCTCTCCCATACACTGAGCATACAGCAGCTACAAGCTTGATCCTAAGCGTTGGGGAGACTGACTCACTGCATAACACCCTCCAGTGGCTAGCTACTCGGGCCTGACATTCTGACTTCAGCTTCCAGGCCCCACCCAGGTTGCCTCTCCAGCCCACCTCTCACCAAGTCCTGTCTCTGTTCCCTCAAACATTTGAAACTGTACCATCCTGGGTGTACTAGTGATCAGTCCTCATGGAAGGATAAGGAAGACCTAGCAAGAGTGACAGGAGGAGAAAGGCTGAGGAAAGGCGGCCAGGAGCTCTCAACACAACAGGGGCCGTGAAAATAAATGCTCCATTTTGTCAGGCCACAGGAAGCAGGGAGGGACAGCAATTTCACTAACTCATAGCCAGGGCTGGTCCAGAGGCTGCTGTGTGGTGGGGAAATGCCCCACTCTTACCCTTAAGATCTATTCGGTATTTTTCACACCTATGGAATCATTTTCACAAGCAGGCATGCTTTGCAATTAAGCTTCCATTATTAGCCTACATGTGACCTTGGGAATGGGGCAGGAGACCCACAGCTGCTCAAAGGAGCTGCTGTCACTTTGCATCTTCATGGAGATTTTGTACAGTTTTCTCATATTTCAGTATATCTGCAAGAATGCAAAGGCATGTTTAAAGGAATAGAAAACCGTGAGACTTAATAAAGACAGGGTAGTTCTGTTAAGAGGAAATTCTCAGGAAAAGGTCAATCATGTGTGCCCCTTGGGTGCTAGCATGTGTGAGATAAGACGAAGGACCCGAATGAAAGAGGTAGCCCACTTGCCACTTGCCACAGTTGTCCTCTGATGGATGCTGACATGGAGGCCCCCAGTAGACAATCTTGCTACCTCCTTGTCTTGACCTCACTGAAGTCCCATACCATGTGCCTGTATATTTCCCTGCCACAGTGTTCACTGTACCCAACTTCCCATCTGCCTGAAAACTGCCAGAGGAGGAACAGTCTTTCTAGACTACACAGCTGACCTGTCATACAGTCAACCACTTGTCCTCTAGTATTTGCTGTTACTCAGGTTCAGCCTGCTCCCCAACATGCTGTATGCTCAACACTTGAGATGTTATGTTTGCTTTATTTAGGGAAAAGGCTGTGATGCATGGACATCTTTCTCAGTTCTCCCTTTGGTACAGAGCTGTGTAGGGAGAACGTAGAAATCACCACTTGCCACCTGCCCAGCACTAAGCCACAGTGCTGGGTACTGCTTGCTACAGATTCATGCCATGCTTGTGTGCTCCCATGAGAGGCATTCTATAACAACATGCACCCAACAGCTAGATCCTGGGTGAGTTATGGCTTCTCTCTGACATTTCCTTTCACTTGGTGTTGTGGGATTGCCTAAGCATTAAATGAACTCATGTGTGTGCTCAGTGGCACATAATAGGTAGAAGGCAGCAGCTATGCTATGACTTCTGAGATTGCCGTCATCCTACCTGAAGCCCACTTTGCTTACCTGTGTAGGACCCTGCCTACATTTAGAACAGATTCTCATGTAGGCTGTATGTTTTATGAACACCTTGATCCCTGACCTCCAAAATGTGCAGTGAAGATGTGTGGCTAAGCATGAGCAGGGGGAGTTTATGCAGCCATGAGGATGTTTTTGCTACCCGCCTTTACTACCCTCACCTCTCCCAGTCCTATTCCTCCAAGTCTGCAATGTGCTGAGCATAGGATATGGGCAGAGGGCAGCTCCTGACGTCCTTGAAAAGCCACCCAGTTTCTAGAAGGCACTGACTGGGTATTACCCTAATGTGAAAGACATTCTACCACATACCTAGCCCTGAGTCACCAAGATAACTATAAATAATATAAAGTGCTCAGCTCCAGCCCGCCCTTCTTGTCCTCAGTCAAGTGCCTAAGTACGGAAGAAATTCACAGCAGGAAGAAGCTGCTAGAAAGGGGGTGCAATCTTTGGCTCCTGAGCCACATGTGGAATCCGGGTGGGAGGAAGGGGAGAACATGACAAGTAAAGGGGGGCTATTACAGATGTGGAAGGAAGAAAGGGGACAGGATTAGCAAAATACACAATGGCAGGTGAATACAAAGTATAGTATGTGTATGTATGGAAATGTCATGATGAAATCTCTGTATGTACAATCATATAACATGTGCTAATAACATTAAAATAAATTTTTGATAAAGCCAATTTTACTGACTGGAAAAGAGATGCTCATGAGACCATGGCATAACATGCTACCAGAAAGCTGCTAGGATCAGAAAGTTAAGTAGATATAGAGGCTGGCTCTCAGTGCTAGAGCTAATTCAGAGTGGAGAGGAAGAAAGCAGTTCTGATGTAGCAGTGTGGAACAAATGAAATTCAACAGGAAAACATCAAACTATCCAGGAGGAGACCAACCCATGTCTCCCAGAGCTAACAGCTGTACCTACAAGTGAGTTCAATATCCAGGCATGGGAGGGTTAGTAAAATGATGACAACATCTAGAGTTCCAGTGCTGGAAAATGAAGGGAAAATGAACAATTTGGACTTTGCCCTGGTTACTGGGGCTTAGGAATGAAATGGAGATTGAGAAGACACCAGGTGAGGAGGATGGATAAAAAGGATGGTAGAAGGAAAGGCATGTTTCCATATTCTTGGCTGATGGAAGTATCTGCCTGATGGTAGCAGGGATGTTAAACAATCCCTGGCAAAATGGTCCTGATGGCTGCTCCTGATGGCTGCTCATTAAACCACCAGTGTGTTAAATGTAAGAAAAGAGAAAAATCTCAGCAGAAAGCTTTTGTGTCCACATAGGTGAAGGCTGCCTCCATCTGACTTCTCTCTAGACCTAAACCTGACCAGGCCTGGTTACTGTGTGAGGGAGATTGGGGGTGGGGAGCAAGGCTGGGTCAAATCCTGGTATAGCTGGTCAGAGGAGCACCCCATGAACCCTAACTGGTGGTACCTGACCTGCAGCCAGAGCTCAGTCACCAAACAGAACAGCCTTGGGTACAGGCTTGCTTAACTGGCTTCTGCTGTACACTGTGCTGTTGTTTTAATCTCAAAAAAAAGTTACTGTGGCAGGGTGTGGAACTTTACCCCTTCTTCAAGGGGCATTTGGTCTGCAACTTATCACAGATCTTCTTCCTGTTGTTTTATAAAGAACCTCAAAGCACTGTGCACAGCCTTTCAGCATCTTCACGTGTACAATAGCTAAAGGAGGTACTGTGCCACCCAGAACACCTCCAATCAACTTAGGAGTCTCAGAGCCAAACATAGTAAGAGATGATACCTTGTACACCTTCAGTGGAAGGCAGGTATGTGAGTTTGAACTCTAACCCAGAAAATGGTATCAGGGTTGGTATGTGGGAGGAAGCATCTGGAACATGAAGATAGAAGATACAAAATATAGAGCCTTGACTGCTGAGGACAGCAGGCCTTTAACACGTTAACACCTACTATGCACATATTTTTATAACACCATCTTCACTTGGAAGAAAAACATACTCTTATGAAAAGAAAAACAAAAAGATACCTGTGGCCTCATCCGTGGATTCCATCGTACATAATAGTTTACCCATAATTCCAAGTGACTCATACTAGCAACAGGGTATAACACGTGATTTTCATAATTCACAAAGAAGGGATTTGAAAATTCATCTAGTTGGCTATTGATATAAGACCATAAAGATATAGTCTTTGTATATATATCCTGAAAAACAAAAAAGGAGTACATTGAAATAAACTCTTCTCCACAGCCTTAAGAATTAGTATTTCATAAAGAAAAATTAAGTGAATTCAAACACTAAAAAAAAATGCATGCCAATTTACCAAACACTGATGCTAGGGATGACATGAAAAAATGCAGTGTTTTCTGTCCTAGAAAAACACGCTGAAGTTAGGCAGTATCTGGCAACTGTATCTGTGAGAAGGTGAAAGAAGAACTTTCTAGCATCTACATGATGAATGGGCCGATCAACAAGAAATACAAGTTTCCTTCTAGATTAAGATTTACTTTTGTTGAGTCTTGGTATTGAGGAATGTGGGTGGAATTTACAGTTATTTGCAATAGAAAGCCATGACTATCTGCAGAAAAAACACACCATGCTGGCAGGATGGAGAAGCTTCATACAGAAGTATGTTCCATTAGCTTCTAGTTCCCTCTCAATTTTCCAGTAAACACTGTTTACAAATGCTGGAACATTTTGTATTGCTCATCTGAAAAAAAGATCCCACCCAAATTTGTGAGTGCAGTGGAGCAGACAAACCTTAAAAAATGGATTAAAAGGTGAAAAGGTCAAATGTTGCCCGTGGGACTGCTTATTTCCCATGAGCTATATTTTCCCAGGAAATATAGATCCATGCAACTCTCATAATATTTTGTAAATGTGTTTAGGAATGTATTTATAAAAAAGAAAGAGCATCAATAAGTCCAAGTACCCAGAATAGCCAAAGTAATCTTGAAAAAAGAAGATGTAGGCAGTCTCGCACTACTCATTTTCAAAACTTACTATGTTATTGTAATCAGTACCAGTGTTGCTAGTATAAAGATATACACATAGATCAACTGAATAGAGTTGTGAAATTAACTCTCACATTTACAGTCAACTGACTTTTCCATAAGAATGATAAGACAATTCAATTGTGGAAAAGAAGTCTTTCCAACAAATAGTGCTGGGACAGCTAGACGGGCAACCCAAAAGAATGGAGTTGAACCTCACATTATACACAAATAGCAACTCATAATGAATCACAGAACTAAATGTAAGCGCTACAACTGTAACATTCTCAAAAGAAAAAAAAATCAATTGAGCAATGATGTTTTTAGCTATGATATCAAACATACAAGGAACAAAAAAGAAAAATAAATTGGAGTTCATCAAAATGAAAAACTTTTGTGCTTCAAAGGACTCTATCAAGATAGTGAAAAAGCCCACAGAATGAGAGAAGTCTGCAAAATACATAAAAGTGACTCGCTTGTAAAAAGTGTATAAAGAAGTCTGACAACTCAGGAATAAAAAAGACATAACCCGACTGAAAACTGGGCAAAAGATTGAATAGACATTTTCCACATATAAATGCCATATAAGCACATGAAAAGATGTCCAACATCATTTGTTAGGGAAATGTAAACAAAAACTAAATCACACAAAATAAGACAAATAAGGTTGGGCATGGTAGTTCATGCCTTTAATGCCAATACTTTCGAGGCAGTCAGGCAGATCTCTGGGAGCTTAAGGTCAACCTGTTCTACATGGACAGTTCCAGGCCAGCCAGGGCTACATTGTGAGATCCTGCCTCTCAACAAACAAACAAACAAAAATTGTAATAGAGGACATGAAGTTGTGGGTGTGGTAGGGTAAGGTGGAGGTGGAGGGGATCTAAACAAAATCATTATACACTATATGAAATTCCCAAATCAGTAAAAGTATAAAAAATAAAAAATAAATGGTATCACATCCACTGGGATGATTATTTTTGAAAAAATATAAGTGGTGTTTAATTTTTTGAGTTCATTATATATCCCAGGTATTAATTCAATGAGATGTGTAGTTGACAGAGAATTTGTGCTATGTGCTTTAGTGTTAGGAACATGTTTTCATATTCTAAACAAAATTCATTAAACACCAGAAAGTATAAAGAAAATAAAACTCATATTTCATATATATATAAGTGTAAGTTTTGGCAAATTTGGAGAAACTGAAACCCAGAGACACTGTTGGTAAGAATGTAAAATGAGGGAGGGGCAGAGGAGAAGTTGGGGGGCCTGGGAGGGATGGAAATAATGCAAATACAATACTAATGTATGACATTCTAAAAACTAAAATATATTTTTAAAAGAATGGAAACTAGTACAACTGCTTTGGAAAATAATTTGGCAGTCCCGCAAAAGGTTAAACACAGAGTTACTACATGGTCCAGCAACTCCGTTCCTAGGACACACCTGAGAGAAAGGCGAGCAGAGAAATGGCATTTGCATTTTTTTGCATATCAATGTTTAAAACATTATTCAAAAGGAAAAAACTGTTGCAAGTTCTACCAACCAATGGAAACACAAACTGTTCTGTTCACACAAATGGATGTTTGGCCATAAAGAAGAATGAAATAGTGGCACGTGGATAGAGCTTGCAATGTTATTCTAGGTAAAGCAGGTCACTCACAAATATTTACCTATTCTATGATGCAATTTATATGAAATATCCAGAATAGACAGATTACAGCTTTCCACAGGCCACAGAAATGTGGGCTAAATGCTAATGGGTTTGGAGTTTCTCAGGGGGGCGTGTTGCTAAAATATTTATGAAATTAGGCATCAGTGATTGTACTAGACTTTAGATGAGTACATTGCATGGTATGTAAAATTATGTCAATAGAGGTTTTAAATGAAGAATACATTTTGCACTCTGGCCCTACAAAACTAAGTAAAAAATAGTTGATGAACTTCATTCTTCTGCTGTTGTGGTTTGTGTTTTGTTTAAAACACCTTTATTGGGATATAATTTACATGTCATAAAAGTTAAAGTTACTGGTTTTTGTTTTTGTTTTTGTTTTAATTAAGAAGTTAACAGGGCCGGGCATCATAGTGGCACACACCTTTAATCCCAGCACTCAGGAGGCAGAGGCAAGTAGATCTCTGTGAATTCGAGGCCAACCTGCTCTACATAGCCCAGGCCAGCTGGGGCTACAGGGAGACCCTGTCTCAAAAAGACCGGAAAAAAAAAAAAAAAGACGTTAACATGGTTATGGGGTTATAGATTTTGTCTGATTCTTTAGAGAGCTGTGGGCTTTTTGGGTCCCTGCCTCTAAATGTAAAAGGCATGTATTAGACAGATGTGCTTGGACTGCTAGATCCTGGGGCTGGGAGGGGAGGTCTGTGGGGCAAGTGTCCCACTACCCTGCACCGTTTACAGATAGCAGCAGGGCCAGGGGCCAAGTCCTCATTCCTTCTAGTGCCCAAGCAACATGGGAAGTAAAATATACTTACCCCTTTGACTCGCTGCTGTTCACAGTTGCATAAAAAAGTCCCAAAGAGACAGCTATAGAGGTGATCCAAAATTGTAATCAAGAATAGTTCATTAAACTCAAATGCTGAAGGAAACTTAAATGGAGAGAAAAAATAAAGTTTAGTCTTAAAGTCTGATTTACAAAGTAATACCACTTATTGTGAGGGACTGCTAAACTACAATATAGAATGATAGATTAAAAGGCAAATAGCTAGGCTGGGCCTTTAATGTCAGCACTCAGGAGACGCAGGTTGATCTCTGTGAGTTTGAGGCTAGTCTGGTCTACATAGTGAGTTCTGAGCCAGCCAGGGCTACATAGTGAGAGCCTGTCTGAAAAAAAAAATACAAAACAAAACTCATCCAAGAACTAAATAAACAAATAAAACAGGCAAATTTAACTATTGAGAATTTCAAGTCCAAACTGATCTGGTAAAAAATTTAGGTAGACCAGGCCTCATGGTGCACACCTTAAATCCCAGCACTTGGAAGCCAGAGTCAGAGAAATCTCTGTGAGTCCAGCCTGGCCTACGTAGTGAGTTGTAGGCCAGCCAGGGCTATAATGAGACCCCATCTCAAACAAACAAAACATTAGATAGTTTCCAGTTCATACATGGTAGAACAGAGCCCAGATTTACCCTTCTGCCAGAAATAACTAGAAAGCTAGATAAAACATAGGAAACAAACGCTTTTAGACACTGGCAGCAGAAGTGTGACCCCAGAGAGAAGAGAAGTCAACGAGGAGAGCAGTTATTGAAGTTGCTTTCCACCTGGGGGCACACAAACTGAGGAAGAAATATCCAAAGTGACTCAAGAAGAGAACATCTGAAGAGCTCTGCATACATGAAGAGATGGTACCTACTTCCAAACTTTTCCACAGTACAACCCCAGGAATCTTTAAATCCTTACCAATGTGAAGCAATCTGCACTTAGTAGAACATAAAAAGGGAAATACTACATGAAATGTGGGGTTTATCCTAGGAATGCAAGGCTGGCTTAATACTGAAAATAATGCTACAAAATCAATTACTATAATTAATCATATTAACAAGGTAAGGAAGAAAAACCACAGGGCCACTTCAGTTGTCTTAGGTAATGTATAATGTGCTTTTGCAGAATTTCAGTGAAGATTATTAGCAATGCCAACAGGTTCCAGCCAGTAATTGCCATTTGGTAGTCATGAGACATCTGGAAATGATAATGATCCCCACAGGGGGCATGTACTGTGTCTACCACGTGACAGAATGCTAATTTAAAACAGTCAAATACTCCCTACTGAAGGAAGGAAAGACAGATGGAACAAAACCGAACACAAGTACCTAGCATATTTGCATTAGGTCAGTTCACATTAGAGACCTGTTCTTAGGCTGAGGGTGTAGTTCAGTTATGAAACACTTGCCCAAAATGTGCAAGGTACCAGGTTCGATCCCTAGCACCACAGAAACCAAACAAATACCACTCTAGTCAGAGTGATGTTTGCATACTACCGTGCCTAATCCTGACATTTAGAGTGACAATCAGGATCACTGCTACATGGGTTTAATTTTAAGCTTAGCCTTACTACTTACTAGACTACCAACAGGCTTTGTGTTACAAAAAACCCCAAAAAACAAAAAACAAAAAGTCAATCTAGAGCTATGAGAGTATCTCCTGAAAACTGTGGTTTTCCTCACCAAGCTATTACATTAGCTGATTTAGGGATTAAGGACAGCTATCCAGGATAAAGATTTACCTCTCTCTGCTTCTTACAGATTGTGCTCACAGAAACACACAACTCTAAGGAGCATGAATGGAATATTACTTCTTCAGAAATGTCTGGAAATTTGAGTGTTGTTACTAGCACTCTGGTAAGGCTAAACAAACTGAATCAGCAATATGATGTCTCTGGCTCAATGATTAAGCTTCCAGTCTTCTGGGTATTTTTCTATGCAACTTAGTCATTCCTTATTCATAAATTATCAGGGCTGCAGAATGTATTGAGCAAATATATAACATTGATGAATACTGAAGCTTTATTAAAATGGAAGGTCTAGGGTTTTATATATTTTATTTTCAAATGTTTAAGAGTAAACATTTACTAACAATATAGCAAATTACTGACATAATTTTAGGCCATATGAGTGCTATGGATTGTGTCCCCACAAAATTCATATCTTGAAATTTAACCCCCAAGGTGATGGTATTATGAAGTGGGAAGTAATTAAATTTAGTCACGATGATGGAGACCTCATCACTGGAATTCATTCCCTTATTATTGTCCTTCTGCCATGTGAGGTTCCAGTGAGAACAAGGCCATCTATGAACCAAGAAACAGGCCTTTCCCAGGCACAGATGCCAGCACCTTGATCTTGGGCTTCCTAACCAGTAGAGCAAGGAAAAATTCTTCTGTTTATAAGTCACTCAGTGTATGGCATTTTGTCCTAGCAGCCTGACTGGAGTGAGACACTGAGCATTCATACCTATTCCATGAGCCTGGATTCATGAGCTCGGGTGGGTGTGTTTTAGTGCCAGTAACTACAAGTGAGTGCCAGGTGTGGGAGGGTAAAGTAGACAAGTCTTGGTATAAGTCCAATAGTACTCTTTGAAACTAGAAAACCAGGCTCTATGTATGCAGATCGGGTGGTTCGGTCAAGATGGCAGTTCTAGCTCAAAGAGTACTGGCAGTATTCAATTCAGAAAGCAGTTCATCAGGGGAAGGATCAGAGTTAGGGTAATACAAATAGAAGATTATGTTGGTGCAAACTAGTTTGTTTTGCTGTATTCATATGAAAGACTACTTACTTATCTAAAATGTACAGTCTCAAAAAATCCATCACAATGTTCCCAAGAGGAACAAAAGTATCACTGGCTATCCATTAAAAGATTCTTTTAAACTAAAGATATTATATAAAGTCTCTAAGATGGCTAAACATTCTCTCAACCATTTTTCCTAGTTTCTTTTATAATAGTATGTTTACATATAGAATAGTTCATTGTACTCCTGACTTTGCACTGATTTAACTTGATTTAGCAATAGGCAAACTAAAATTAAGCTAATTTAAATTAACTAAAATTTTATTATATAGAAACATATTCTACTAACCTGTTAATTCAACAATCACTTATTGACTGATAGCTACAGACTGACCATTGATCTCTCCTCATGTGTTCATATTATTTGAAGGGGAATTATGCACACATTTCATGAACAAAATGACAGTGTTGTGAGAGGCACCTAAACTATTCTACCCAAACCCCTTGTTTTCTTTCTTAAAATCCAATAAGCAGTGCAAATATAACAGAGTAGACATGGAAATAAGCACTCAATAGTGAGAAGAAAAGGAAATCAGTTTGAAGGGTGCACACACGCATGTGTGTAAGCATGCACTCAGAGGTGTTTGATAGAAATGAGGCAGTTCATATCCACAAAATGGTTTTTATCCCATTAGAGGCATCAGAATTATGTTTTTGCCTTTAACTTTTAATGGCAATTTTTTTAAGTGCTTCATGCTTTTCTTGATCTGAATGTAACAATCTTTGACTTTGTCATAGGTTCAGCAACAGTACAAATAGCAACAAATGTACAGTACCATCAAAAATGGGCCTACCCAGCCTCCAGCCTTCTCAGCCCATGTGTGCTGTTGCCCTTCATTTGGGCATGTCCCTGAGACCATCCCTCCTCTCACTCATGACCATTTTTAATTCTCTGTGACATGGAACTCAGATAACATAAAGACCCCATTCAGCATGCTGACGTTAGTTAAGAGTCAGTTCCACGTGAGGGCCCATGTTTCTTGGTTTTGGAGATAGGCCTGCCTCTATTTTCCAGACCCTTACCACACTGTAGTCTGCGAACCCAGAGCATCACCTTATCGAAGATAGCACTGTAAGCTTTAGCACATATTCACTGACTTAGATTCTAGTATTTCAATAAGAACCCAGGGCACTTGTATGCTGGCTCAAGTTCCAGAAAAGCTGGTCTAGCACAGTACTCTCAAACATCAGAATCCCTTGGAGTGTTTGACATCTCCAGAATGGTGGGCCTTGAGCATCAGCAGGTTTGTGGAGGGTATGAAAGCTGGTCTGGCTACCAAGTTCTCAGGGGATGCTGCTGGGGAATCAGAGTCCTCACAAGATGGAGAGGACAGCAGAGGTAGCGTGGCTGTGCTCAACATCCTCTCTGCTCCAGCACACATTCCCACCAGCAGGAGCAGTTGACAGTGAGCAAACAGGGCTGAGGGGACAAATGTCCTCTGAAAAGGCTTGAGGTTGACTTGAGAAGGCATCCAGGAGCATCAAGCAAGAACACCAAGTGTGTTAGAGGAGGTCCTGCAGATGCACAGGAGGGAGAGGAAGCAAGCTCTGGTTCTCAGGCTCCAACTTACTCTTTCTCAAAGCCAACAAGGCTGGAACAGCAGATGCTGGGAAAATTCTGCTCTTGCCTCATTCTTTCTAGTTCCAGGTTCATGTCCCTGGCACCATCTCCTATCCCAAGGCTAAGACTTCAAACTTAAGCATGAATGCTACGAGATTAGGGGAAAACTGAGTGGGTCCTCTGTCCCACTTTGAAATGAAGCCACAGGGTCTGACTAACTCAGGGAAGGAGGATCCCTACAAGGCTCTGTTGCTTTACCAGAGCCCTGTGCAATGGACTTAGGAAGATAAAGCAACAGCTAAGGATAAAAATCTACCCAGCTACCTCTCTGCCACTGGCTCTTAGGTACACATTTCCCTCAGGGACTTTGGAGTGTGTAGGGCTATGGCCTGGGGCAGGGTATGGAGAGTCCTGGATCCCCTGGACTGACCCTACTTATTAGCAGTTCGAACATCTGAGGAACTCTTAGATTAAGTGTTTAGCAGAAGACTGAGTAGCTTTTCATAACGTGACAAAAAGCGAGCACCAGAAGCAGAAGGACCTATGGAGTGGGGCCTTGCTGTGCACGGCTGCTGGATGAGAGGACTGACCAAAAGAAGAAATCTATCTTTTCTGTGTGAAACTGTCTGTTTCTGATTCACTCTTTACATCTTTAAGTGAATGAGAATCAAAGTGTACTGAGTAATACAAGGAGTCATATTTTACTCATTTATAATGAAACAGTAATGGAAGTTTAATTTTCAGCTATGAAATATTTTTGAATCGAAGACTATAAAAGATCAGAAATAAACTTGAAATTTCTCACCTGTCTTGTCATCTGCCAAACACAATCAATAAACTGAAGAAATATAGGCGATCGGTCAGGATCTGCATGGTTGTCATCACCATGGCCCACTCTCTGGGAAGAAGCAAAAGGTTACGTCTTTACATATGCTATGGTCTTCTTGAAAAATCACTTGAATTGCCTGCTGAGTCATGTTTATCATTTAAGATAATTCCTTCACATCATAGGTACTTAAAAATATTTGTCAGAAGAATGAATTAAAACAGCATAATGACACATATACCTGAAAATGTGATAAGGAAATGCTCATTCTATATGCTAATTTAAAAATTAAATGACTAATTTTTTTTTACATTTTGAATTTTTTAATTGAATTTTTGTGCATTACATACACTATATCTTGATCATATTTAGGTGCCCTCCCTTATCTGCAACTACCCATAGCCCCCTACTGTATTTCATTCATAATGTCATATACCTTAAGGCCTATCGGGTCAAATTTGTATCCCCAAATGTCCTTTGGTGTGAGTCCAACCACTGGAGCCTGGTCAACCTATTTAGTGTCACTCCCTTAAAGAGTATCTACTCTCCTTCACCCAGCAGTGATCAGTTGCCAATAGTTCTTTGATTAAGGTTCGGGCCTGCTGCCCACTTTCCCAGTTCTATGTTGGATTTTTAACTAATTGAATCTGATCGAATGGGTCTTGTGCATGTTGTCACCATTGCTGTAAGTTCATATGAGCAAATTCCCAGAAGCCTGAAAACTGTGTTTCCTTGTGGTCATCCACCACCCAGGCTCTTACAATATTTCTGCCCCCTCTTCCACAATGATCCTTGAGCCCTGGGTGGTAGATGTTTAATACCGGAGCCCTATCCAGAAACATGCATCGTGTAGTCTCTTATTCTCTACATTTTGGCCAGCTGTGACTTTCTGTGTGCATCACCATCTGTTGCATGAGGAAGCTTCTCTGGTGAGACTTAAAAGTTCATTAAACTGAATGGACTTTCATTTCTTTTAGGAAACAAAATTTTCAGTTTGCTATATTTTTATGTGGTGATTCTTTTATAATTTCTCTTTCATGTAGCTGATACCAAGAAAGAAAACAGAACTAGCTAGGAAACTTTTAGGTTTAAATGATGGGGTCCAGGACAGCCATGACAGCAGGTGTAGCGTATCAACGTAGGAGCATTAACTAGTTCACAAACTGCATCACGAAGGCCATGTTCTTTACAAGTGCTACATTTTCCCCTACTTTTCAGAAGTGTCAGGGAGACAGATGAGGAGATGGCTCAATAGGTAAAGTGCTTGCTGTATAACCATCAAGATCTGAGTTTGGATCCCCAGCAGCCACATGAAAGAAGCCAGGCAGAACCATGCATATTATAATTCCAGTAGTGGACAGCACAGACAAGCAGATCCTGGGGACTCCTTGCCAGCCAGTCTATGAGAAATGGTGAGCTTCAGATTCAGTGACAGACCCTGTTTCAAATAGTAAGGTGGGGATTAACAGAGGAAAACATGCCAACATCAGCCTCTAGCCTTCGCATGTGCACATACAAGCAAGCACACATACACACAGAAACATGTAAATCTTAATAAAAGAAAGAAATATCAGGAAGTCTGAGAATGGAAACAATGATTAAGAACCTATAAATGAGTCATGCGTGGTGGCGCACACCTTTAATCCCAGCACTAGGGAGGCAGAGGCAGGTGGATCTCTGAATTCAAGGCCAGCCTGGTCTACATAGCAAGTTCTAGGCCAGTAGGGGCTACAGGGAGACCCTGCCTCAAAACATCAAAAACAAAGCAAAACAAAACAACAAAAAAGAACATATAAGTTCTATTGATTTCTACAATAGTCAGAGAACTCAAGCTCTCACTCTTGAAATGATAATTGTGTGCAGTCCTTGTTCAAGAGAAGGCCAGGATGGCACTTCATACATCTACATAGTTTACATGAATACACTGATACTTAAAGGTAGCATTTTCGACCACATAAAACATGCAATGAATAAAGATACCTATAGAGGGAGCATTCCAAAAAAGCGTCAGAGAAGCAAAAGGGTAAGAAAGAAAATCATTATGCGGCACAATTCAATAACCACAAAATGCTAAAATAATCAGTGAAACTGCTACCTGGCAAGACATAAAACAAGGAGATGACCAAGCAGGGTCAACATCTGATAGGTCAGTGGGTCCTGGTGGGAGTTGAAGGGAGGTAGTGGGAGATGGATAAGGTTAAAATACATTGAGTACATGTGTGAAATTTTCCAAGAATAAAAATATTTTTAAAAATCTCAGAGCAGGCCGGGCGTGGTAGCACACGCCTTTAATCCCAGCACTCCAGAGGTAGAGGCGGGCAGAGCTCTGTGAGTTCAAGGCCAGCCTGGTCTACATAGTGAGTTCCAGGGCAGCTGGGGCTACAGGGAGACCCTGTCTCAAAAAGACCAAAAAAAAAAAAAAAAAAAAAAAAAAAAAAAGAAAAAAAGAAAAATGTCAGAGCAACAGTATATTACCTTTCATTTTTAATGATAAAATGAATAACATAAAATCGTTTTGCAACTATTACCACCATTCATTCTAGAACTTTCACCTTCTCAAACTGAAACTCTGTCTCTATTAAATAGCAACTGACTGCCCCCATCCCCTAGTAACAACTAACCTGATTCTATGATGTTGACTATTCTTGTTACTTGCTGGAAGTGGGAAACATACAGTATTTATCATTTTGTGATTGGCTTATTCCATTTAACAGAATGTCTTGAAGGTTCATCTACTTTGTAGCATGTCAGAATTTTTCCTCTTCTTTTCAGACTGATTACTATTGCAGTGCATGGGAAGCAAGCATTTTGTTCATCTGTTTGGACTGTTTCTCCCTTTGAGCTACTACAAATGCTATTACAAACATGGATGCCCAAGCCCCTGCTTCCCTTCTTTGGGGTGCGGATCATGTGGAAACTCTACTTTCAAGGCTTAGAGGAGCCGCTGTGATGTACTGTTTTCCGCAGCAGCTGCATGTGCTGCCTTATTCCCGTACTTCTTCTCCCAGACACAATAAGGTGTAGAACCTTCTATTCAGTATTCAAGGTCCTCAGGGAACAGTTCTACATTTAGAGTTTACACATTAGGATTCATTCTTTTTTCAAAATGTTTAAAATGACATTTTATTTGTGTGTGCATGTGGATGAGGGCTGTGCATACCACAGCACATATGTGGAGATCAGAAGGTAATTTTCAGGAGTTGGTTTTCTCCTCCCACTATGTTGTCCTGGGGATCGAACTCAGGTTGTCAGGCTTGGCAGCAAGCCTCTTCACCCTCTGACGCATCTGCCCAGCCTTCATTGTGTGTTTTTAACTAACTTCCTGTGGATACAAGGTGTTGTGCCTGGCCCCCAGACTTTCAGGCAATGGCATGTAAAGAGGCGCAATCCATGGCAAGGCACCTAGGGTACCAAGACATCTAAGATACAGTGCCTGGGCTTGATGACTAATTCATTTGTGGTGCAGTCAAGGAAGAAAGACTTGTAAATAACGAGAGCAGAAAGTATCACAAGAGTTTTGTTACACGCAATGGGTACAGTGAGGGAAGAAGGGAAGGAGTGAACCATCTCGTTCAGCTGAGGAGGGAACAAGGGAATACAGTCACACAAGCCAAATTCACAGTGGAAGTCTCTCTTAAACTTTCAATGGCAAGGACATATCTGCTTCCTAATATATCCATGGATGTATCATAAGCAATGAGAATGTGGTGTGGGCACTTAGGAAGCCATAAATGGTTGGTCAGGGCTGAGGCTCAGGAAAGAAGGCAAGAGGAGGGGCTGGAAAGTTACTGATTCTGAGTGTCACACTGAGGAGTTCACACTGGGGAGAGGCAGTATTAGACTTATGTTTTGGAATGCTCCACTTGGTTACAGGGGGATAATGTATAGGAAGGGAAAAAAACTGCAGAAAAAGTACTTAAGAAACTGCCTGAAAGAAATGAAGAGGCCTGAATGAAGGGGGCAGCAGTGGCCATGGGAAAGAGAGAAAAGATTTGAATGAGCTGGGTGTGGTGGCACACACCTTTAGTCCCAGCACTTAGGAGGCAGAGTTCCAGGCCAGCTGGAACTACCCAGGAGACCCTGTCTCAAAATGACCAAAAAAATTTTTTTTGAATGAATGTGTTTAAAAGTTTGGGGACTAGCTTTTTTAGCACTTTTTAGCTTAGAGCACTAAAGATAAGCACATAGAGGAGGGGAATAATCCCAGGACTGAGCCCTGGCATACCCATACCAGTATGAAGTTAGACAGATGAAGGTAGACCTGAAGTAGGAGGAAATTCAAATGGTCATAGAGTCATAATATAGTGAAAAACTTCCAAAAAAGGGAAATAATATTATCGAATGCTCAGGGCAAGTAAGGGAAGGACTTAGCAAAGTGGCAGTCACTGACTGTGGGAAGACAATTCGTAAGGGCCAAGTGTGAGAAGGAAGCTCATTTGGGGTGCGGTCAAGACACACTAGAAGGGAGGAGGGCAATGATGAGTACAGACAACAGTTTTTATGAATGTTCAGATAGGGTTTATTTGGGTTTATGGTTCCTGAGAGATAAGAGTCTACCATGGTGGGGGAGGGATGGCAGGATGCAACCCCAGCAGAGAGCTGAGAGCTCACGTCTTCAAACATGCACAGGAAGCAGAGACAGAACCTGGAAGTGGGGCAAGGCTATGAAAGCTCAAAGCCCATCCTCCAGCAAGGCCACACCTCCTAAAGGTTCCATGGCCCTCCCCAGACAGCAACTCCAACTGACAAGTGTTCAAATACTTGAGCCTATTATTCAGCAGGTGCAGGGACACTTATTCAAACAACCACAGGAAGCATGCCGATTCAATGCATGATAAACACAAATCCCCAGCTGAATAGGCTACCCAGACTACAATTAGCTCCCAACTGTAGTAATAAATGGCTGCCCCAAAATGCCCCACGAAATGACCTAGTCAATACACTTTTGATCATCTACACCTCAAATACAAAGCAGGTGTTTCTAAGATTGAATTATATGCCACTAAAAGTGAAGCCCAAAGCTCCAATACTTTATAATGTGACTGTATTTGGAAGCAGGGCCTTTAAAGAGGCCATTAAAGTAGGCTCTTGTTCAATATGACTGATGTTGTTAGAGGCACCAGGGACATGTGCAGAGGATAGGCCATTATGAAGAGGCAAGAAGAGGTTGGCCATCTATACACCAAGAAGAGAGACCTCAGGAGAAACCAATCCTGATGGCAACTTGATTTTGGACTTCCAGCCTCCGTGAGAAAATATATTTCTGTGGTTTATATCATCCAGTCTGTGGTACTTTGTGGTGGGAAAACTTGTATATCTATGAGTCACATAAAAGGTAGAAATAATCCAAAGGTCAAGTGCAGATGAATGGATAAACAAAATGTAGAACTTGGGCACAAAATAATATTATTCAGTTATAAAACAGAACAAAATTTCGATACATGTTATACCCCCCCCACACACAGAGACACACCCACCCATCCACACAGATGCCCCTTAAAAATATTTGCTTAGTAAAATAAGCCAGTCACTGCAAGATAAATATTCCATGATACTAATTACACGATACCTACAACCGACTGAAGGCAGATAGGGGCTGGGGCCTGAAGGGTAGGGATATGGAGCAATGGCTACATGTATAGCATTCCTATTTTCAGGTAATGAATACGTTTTGGGACTAGACAGAAATAATGGTTACAGAGCATTGTGAATGTAGTGTAGAACACTGAATTGAACACTTTTAAGTAGTTAATGCTATGTTATATGAATTCACTAAATTTAAAAAGAAAGGCATAACTACACCAAAAATAGTGCTAACAGGAAAACACAATGTGGAGGACCATAGGATTCTGTTAGTGCAATTAAGTCCAATACAGAGGAGGAGGCATGCATAATATATATGTGTGCATGTTACACAAGATTGGCACATGTACATGACAGAGCAAAACAGTTGCATATAACCAGGTCAACATACCAGTGCAAACCTATGTCCAAAGCTTATCCACTCCTTTTCTATGAGAGCTTCAAATCCTTTAATGGTACGGTAATAACTGTCCAACATCAGCATTGCCAGAGATGTGAGCTGGGCTGTTCGGTCCCAACCATCGCTGCAGTGGACCACCACAGAGGTTTTCCCAGATTCTATTTTATCAGCAATTCGCACTGCCCCAGCAAGAAGCACCTTAAAAAGGGAAATTGGACAAGGCTACATTCAGTTTCAACTGCTGCATAAAATAATTCTGGGGAAAATGTTGAAAATCCTGGCCAATAAACCACACAAGATTGCCATACAGGGCTGGGGCTGTACCTCCGTGAATCCCTGGGTTACATCCCCAGGACCAAAACCCAAACAAAATAAGCACAAAACAAAAAAAAAATGTCCTACAGTTAATTAAAAATCATCAAGAAATGTTAGCACCATATTTTTTTAAAAAATACACTTAAACTATGAAATACTATAACAGTAAATGGGGTCCTTTATGGAAGGGTTACAAAATTCTTTTAAAAACTTGACTTACTGGGGCTGGAGCAATGCCTCAGCAGTTAAGAGCACTGGTTGTCTTACAAAAGACCCAGGTCTGATTCCCAGCACCCATGTTGCAGTTAGTAACAATCTGTAATTCCACTTCCAGGGGATCTGATGCCCTCTTTTGACTTCCATGGGCACTGCACGCATGTAATGTACTTACATACATATAGATAAAACACTCATATACATAAAATAAAAAAGATTAAAAATAAATAAATAAACCTGACTTACTAGGTGTAATGCCTACCTATAATCCCAGCATTTGAGAGGCTAAGGGGAGGATCACTGCATGTTCCAGGCCTCCCTGAGTTATGTAGTAAGTTCAAGACCAGCCTGGGCTACATAGAGAAGCCCTGTTTACAGAAAACAAATAAATAAAATAAACCAGCAGTTGGGAGGTGGAGGCAGGAGGATCAGAAGTTCAAGATCATCCTCAGCCACACAGCAAAGTTGAAGGCCACCCTGGGCTACATGAGATAAGACCAGTAAATGAATGAATGAATGAATGAATGAATGAATAAATAAATAAATAAAAACATGGTCCATTTTTCACTGTCAGAAAAACCCTCCACAAAGACCATAGTCCAACTATTGCCAGGAGGAAAATCAAAAATCTCTCAGGCATAGCCAAGATGCTGTGATTTGTGATGTTGAGAGACTACTTGGAGATAGAAATATTCATCATTAGATGTCTCAACTGCAGAGTAGACAAAAGATTAAACTTATTTACCCTTATATATTCCAGCCAATGTGTTCCATCCACGTTGGAGAGCCACCGTGATTCGTCGATGGAAGGGTACACAATCTCCTTTAATTTACGCAGTGACTCTCTCATCACATGAATATTGTGGATTTCTAAGAATATAAGCTCTGCATTTGGGTAAGCACTTTCGCTTTCATATCCTCCGCCCTTTGCCTATAAAACAAACAAACAAACAAAAGATATGTATTGTGGGAATAACTTTCTGGGAATGCCCCATATTAAACTGAACTTTACCTAACCTTGTAACCAAGTTAATCATAGGGCTTTGAGATCATTTAACACAATGTGTTCAACCTGTTTTCCTACTATGCAATCAACTTGTTTAAATTTAACTGGAGTTTATAAAACAGGGCCCCCATGTAATCAACTTTTACAAGGTAAGGTAAATGCATAGGTTGAATCTTAAGCTATGTTCTCTATTTCTCCCTTGTGACCCTGCCTTACTCCTGACCCAGAGTAGCAAGTGTACGTATGCTATTATCAAATCTGAAACCAGCAACAATGTTGGAAGAAACTAATTACCCACAATAAATGTTGCAAGCAAGCCTGGGCTTAGGTTGATAACATCTGTGGTTTTGTAGGCTGTTCTAGGTCAGCACCTGGGAGGTGGGAGCAGGAGGATAAGAAGTTCAAGACAGGATCACAGCAGACCTCCAGAGAGTGCCAAGTTCTGGTCTCCCTCAGGCAGAGGGCATGAGAACGCAGGGGACTGCCTGAGAGCCCCCAGATCCTGCCTCCAAATGGTGAAGGAAGCCTGAGTGTACCTGATTAGAATGTGAATTGGCCTTCTGAGGGTATTCCTGAATAGCTGATCTGAATCCATCAGTTCCCTCCAAATTAAACTTGAGAGAACCTGGACTCTGTGCTAACCAGCTTTACATAACCAATAAAGAAATGATCTGGGCACCCAGATAATACAAACAGAAGCATAATCAACTTATTTCTCATATCAGAATCATAAACAACAAAAGAAATTCACATGCCAAAACCACAATGAAAGAATAATAAAATGGAAAGCCAAAACAGTATGTCCCCACCAAACTCCATCAGTCCTATAGAAGAGTCCTACAAGGAGAACCCCCTAGAGATAACCCAGGATACTGAATTTAAAAGAACAGTCATAAACATGATCAAGGAATTCAACGAATTTAAAGAACACCTGAACAAACAAATCAAAGAACTAAAAGAAGATAGGGATAAACTTCTGAATGAATTCACAAAAGAGATAGAAGCATTGAAGAAAACTCAGGCAGAAATGAAGAAGGAAGTGAAAAACTCAATAAGCCAACTTGAAACAACAGGGGAAAGCCTCA